AATGCCACCAATAGCGAGTCCAGAGATACATTCTCGTACCAAAAACGACATTTTGTACATACAAGAATGCCGTCTTCCAGCTCATTGCGAAGTTCTGTGCCCATGAGATGAATTTGAAACAGACCCACTGGTCCCCACGCCGTATTTCAGAACTCTGCCGCAGCGGAAACATTTGTCTCTTGACCGAGAAGTACTCTCTCTTGTATCCTCTGTACACATGTAGTGTGTGTCAAATTCGACTTACCATTTTCTTTCTCATCCCTGCTCCCGCACCTGAATCCAGGCTCTCATTTCTCTATCCCAAGGCCATGGGAGCAGTGGTGGCAGCAAGGACAGCTAGCGGGCTGCTTCGGAGCCCTCCGTTTTGCGACTAAGATCCTCTCCACTGTCCATGACGATCAGCCGGGATACTCCCTGCTCTATCCACGCGACGAGTGGAGAGTTTCACCGGTGGGCTTAGGAGTCCGGTGGCACGGATTGGGGGGTGGGTGTATGGCACCGCCTCCAGTCTGCGCCGTTTGCTGTGAACCGGCCATTCCAACGGACTGCCTGTGGGATGAGCTAGCTTTGTGGCTGTCGACTTTGCTTTTCAATCCGGGTTAATTTGAGGTCGGGATACCGACAACGAGGGAGCCTTTGGGGACCGGCGTTTTCGCTTGATGACTTGGGGGCCGTTAGCGCTCATTTAGTGTGATTGTGAGTGTGTGTGCATTTCGGACATAAGAACACCTGAGTAGCAAACACAAGGCAGATTCAATTTGAATGCCAGGAATGTCAAACCCCCCAGACGACGCTAGCTCTGTATGCTTTCCGTATCGAATTTCCATCGTTCGGTGAACCCACCGTTCATGGACGGAGAATACCCAGTTGTGGTAATAGCTTGATAGAGCGGGCGCTGTTTCTGCATGACAGACAGGGTTACAACGATTCGGGTGCAATCTTTGCAGTATTTCATACATCTACTAGAGCCTAATTTGCTTACCCCTCCATGTTATATCGAATGTCATATTAGTGTCGACCAACAAGCATTTTGACATCATGAAGAGACGAGTGTACGAAGAAGTATATCAACAGTGTCGGCTTTTCTGCTCGCGCCAACGATATGTGCGAGTGCATATGCCGACAAAGAGACTATCAGCTAGCTTTGACGTATTGGTAGATCCACGCATCTTCTACTGTATCTTGGCTTCTTCGTCGACAGGCAAACTACCCAACGCCAAGACTGCTGCTACCCCAAAGCATGCATTTATAAATCTTACGGCACTTGTATAGAACAGGGATAAACAGACGTACTAGAGAGGTTTAAAAGAGGTATAGTGAGCGAAAAAAAAAACATGTTCGTTCTTTATTTATGATATGTGATGGCGGACGAACTCGCGCCTGTTGACTTTGCTGCCGTCATTGACGCGAGAAGCGAAGTGCATGTCCAATTTCGGAAGCATGAATAGACCAGTTCAGCCCATCGCATACCTTGACGCAGAGAAGTATGCTGTCTCGATTCACTTGCTTGGAAAGAGTCAGATAGCAGGCACCTCCTCTCCTATATCATGAACACGTCCATTTCCCGATTGAAGTACGGATTTTGATGCTCATGAGTAACGTTTATATGTTGAGTCTGGGGTTAAGCATTGTAGTAATTGTACAACTCATGAATTAATGTTCATGTGACTCCTGGCTTTGCTCATGGCTTTAGCTGAACAGATGACCAAAACTGTAATATATGCTTCGATCACCACAACGAATGAATACCTCGGCAGTTATCAATTTTTTTTTAAAATGGTCCATACCTTTAAGATGCAGTTTTACTTACTAATGTTGGAGCATATCTGAACCTATCAAGCTCAAAACACTGGCATATGTCCAAGTCCCCAGGCATGGTAATAATAAGAGAGTCAGAAGAAACACGGAACCATCACTCGTATTGCTCGCTGCACGATCCGCACGATGTATATTCAACTTAAAATTGATTCTTCTGTTAGTATCATTATAAACGATCTCTACAGTATTGCAGAGAAGTAAGACTTAAAGACAAGTAAGTTAGTGATATTGCACTGGGGAGTTGTTTCCTTGTGCGGCGGCACGGTACATCCACACACTAGCATCATCACTAACAACAAATACGCATATGATGTGGATGGTCTAATTCACGTACATGGCCTGACTTCACACTCCTTTGAATGATATCACTGTCTTCTGTTGCCTCGCGAGCTTTCCTGCCAGAAAGAAAAAGAGACTACGACTACAAGGTTGGTAAACCCCAGTGCTAGTGCTCCAAAGACGCTAGTATATTGATGGGGAAACCACCAAGCTGCAAATCAATGGATCTAGTCTCCATGATCTGGGCTGGGCTTCCAGATATTTGGTTTCCCGAGTTTAGTGAAGGGGGGCCATCAGATAGGCCTACATAGGGCCGTTTAGCTAACCCTAGATCACCAGGGCCAAGGACCGCACGCTTGAACGAATGCGTGCTAACATTGATATTCGGGACCAACATTGGATAGCAACACCAGACTCTTAGCCTCGTCCAAGGCTCACGCCCCTTTCACCGGGAAGAAATGTCAGCAGACAGATCGCCGATGTCAGTAAGCATACCCACTGGTGATTAGCAAGGTACCCGTAATATACGACACGTTCGTGCATACGCTATGTGAAGCGAGTAACATGGCCTCTGACAACTAGAAGAAACTTCGGCATCGATACCTTGTCAACTGTATGTAGGATTGGGCGAATAAATAGTAGGCGAAACTTTTACCATCGTTTACATATCAAGACAAACTGTTGGTTTCATGACAAGGAGAGTTGGAAACAAAGACAAGTCCGACGGAAAAAGCAGTTGGTGATCTCGGGCACCACTACGGGGACTTTCCCGGGCACCACTCCGGGGATCGTATTGTGACAAGTCGACTTGATAGCACTTGGCACCCCTAGTACCGCAGTACGCTTGTTCTCGGGCTTATTTCCAACTGGTCCGTTTGCTGTATGTTGTCTCGGCGCAATTCGTTGATTCCTTGCAGGAAACTGTATCGCGTCATGCGCCGTTGGTTCCTCGGCGACCATTTGCGTGAACCATGTCATACCACATGTAGTATATGAGAGGCAACCCAAGAACCCTAAACTATAATAAGATTACTCATAGAAATCTGACAGCGCCCAGGGGTATGCCTTTTGCCGCATAAACTTGGACCATGAAAGAAGAGGTTAGTAATTACTCTGTAGCTGATTCCAGTAGACTTGTCAAGTCCGGCAGCTAGTATGGCAGGGCTCTGAATGATCTTCGCAACGAATTGAGTTATACATACGCAGTGGGATTGGCTATCATATGATCAATCTCATTGCTGTAAGTTTCTCATGCGGGAAATGTGATTTGAACTAAACGGCGATTGAATTGCCCTGGAGAGTCAAAATCCTGGGAAGTCCTACGCAGTCTCGAAGTCAGGTAGATAGCCGTTTCAGGTGGCTGCTGTTGGATGCAAGATGACTGCAGCATCCACCAGGTTTAAAAATCAGCGTCTCAATGTGTAGGATCATTAAGGGGTATGTCGTCCTCATGAATGTCCCACGTGGGTCTGCTATGCATGGTAGCCTTGCGAGAGAGGAGTTGATCTCAGTTTCAGACAAGAACAGTTTTGGTGTGATGTTGAATACGCTGCTTTGACTCTGTTTGTTCGATATCGTTAGCAACTCATTTCGAAATTGCAGTGTACGTAAGATGTGAGCTATAAGGCGTCTACCATAATGCAGAAACAAGATGATTCACGCATAAACTTGCAGTAGTAGGTAAAAGGAAGGGTTATGCGTCTGTTTGAAAAATATGTGTTCACTGAGTTGGCATGCAGATTTGTGTGAAAGTAGGCCAGTCGGATGAACAAGTGGTAAAACATACAGTAAGCATATGAACCTCAATAAGCAGCGGTGGATACGATTCCAAGTGTTATCTTCATGAGCGAATCGAAGAAGTCCGGTAAGGTATGTACTATATACGTATACACATTAGATGCGATATTATCTGAAAAATTGCAAGCGAGTGGTTGCGATCTTTTTTTTATTTCCCCGACAGTCTAATTGTACACATGACAGCTGTGATGTCCAAGGCGGACATCGATGAACGAGGTGGTATAGATAGTAACCGTTTATCCATCCTCTATTCTGCCATTTTTCGCTAAGAAATCACATAATACTTAAAAGCCATGTGTTTTATATTGAGTCTCCACGTCTTTCAAGTTAATGTAAGCGATAAGGGAAACGTAAGCGGACTGCAGATTAGCGAGAATCGAGCCTCAAGAATGCCAAGACACTACCTAGTTGAGTCTATTAATGGCTGTGCACCTTCTGTTGATAGATGCTGCTTAATAAGGTAAATATCCGTTCAAAAAAAAAAAAAAAAAAAAAAAAAAAAAAAAAATTCATGTGTAGTCGTAAATCGTTTGCTTACCTTACATTGATGAGTGCTTGATCTCGTGTCCACTTAGATACATGTACACGTGCAGAGGCGCTCAATGATGTCCCCTACCTAAGCAGCCACAATTAGCTTAATTTACTGCTTAAATGGAAAGGAAACTTCGAGGCAAGTCTCCAGTTGCATACAGCACCTCTTCTTTTACCGCACTCACAGGATCCCGACTTTCTGGTATATGCACTTACACGCGCTGTCCCATGAATATGTCTATCAAAGCTACAGCAGCTTGAGACAGAACTTCCTTCATACTGTAACTGCTCCAGCGACTAATGCCGCTAAAGTAGACCCAACAAGCGTTCGGAGAATCGGGCCTCTGCTCCGGCGCGACTCTCCCGGGGCTTCTACTGCACGACTTGCGCCTTGGCTGCCGGCCTCGGCCTAGCGCATCGTTGTCATCACCATGGCCATGTCGTTGAGATTCCCAAACGGCTGCTGCAAATAGCCAGAGCAGCTCTCGTTCTGCTTCGAATCGCCTCCCTGGCATGCATGCTGAGTTCTGTTGCTCGCCCGGCGGCCCCATCCAACGGTCTGCAGAAGCGTCGCCATGGGCTCTGTGCAACCGCCCACGAAGCCGTGCCACAACTGCCGCCGGCAGAGGCTCCGATGTGATCGGTCGTACCCACATTGCAACAAGTGTGCCGCCTCGGGCAAGGAGTGTCTCGGCTATGGGAAGCTGTTTCGTTGGACGGGCGCCATCGCCAGCCGCGGCAAGCTGGCCGGCCGCACGTCGAGCGCGCCTGTAGCGGCTGAGACCGACAACGGGAATGATGCAAGTAGAGATGCTGATGAGATAGACGCCGAGATGCTCGCTGAGATGGGTGCTGAGGCCGGGACAGAGGCTCCGTCGCCTGTGCTGGCGGTGGCCAAGGTGCGCTCCAGGAGGAGCTCGTCCATGTCGGCTAGAGTATCTATTATACCATGGAATGGCCATTACGGAAGAAGAATGTCGGCCGATGCAGAAATACCACTGCCCACTCCGTTGCCCAGGTCTCCCCATATCAAACCAAGCAGTCCTTGGGTGCTGGCCGATCCTCTGTTCCAGGATCTGAACCAATCTGACCGGTTCTATCTCAACTACTGTGCGTACAAGTCGGATCCTGTTTCTTCTTTGTAGGTTATAAACGGAATGAGCGGTGACTAACATCTCACTTGCAGTTACAACCCGCCTGTGCAAAGACCTAGTGTCCACCGACGGGCCAGAGTGCAATCCTTTCCGCAGCCTCATACCACTAACTCGTGCTCATCCACTGCTGCAGCACATTATCGTTGCGGCCTCGGCGGCTCACATGTCTAACTTGATAACCATGGGTTTGCCATATGATGACAGCGGCCTCGTAGCTGCGAATCAGAGCGCGGCTTCGAAAAAGGCACTCGACGATGCGCTGGTCGCCAAACACACAGCGCTGCGGCTAATGTCTGCTGCCATTCAGAACATCGATACAATGGATGGTGATGTCTTGCTTGCAGCCTCGCTCTTCTTCATCAACGTAGAGTTGATTGAGTCTGGAAAGCATGGTTGGAGAGCGCATCTCGAAGGAGCATCAAAAATTATGTCCTTCATACAGCTCACCCAAGCGTGGGATAGCTCATTGCGGGACTATCTCCTCTCAGACTGCTTTATGTGAGCTCTCTCTTTTATTTTATGTCTCAACTTCTCATCATTTGCGTTGTAATCGCATGAAGAAAATCCCTTCACTTGCTGACAGCCACTCCCAGCTACTTTATCCTTGCCTCGGCATTTATGCCAACAAGATACGCAACGTCTTTGAGCTTTGAGTCTTCACAGATTCCCTTTGTCCTTGGCAAGACGGTTGCGAATAGCTACTTGTGCTGCCCACCAGAACTGATGGAAATCTTGCACACTGCCTCCCAACTATCGAACAACGCAGTTGATGATCAGCCCAACGAGGAAATCACCATGGCTGCTACAGAGCTGGTCAAACGTGCTCAAGCCTACGACATCTATGGATGGGCTCGCGACACAGCGAAAGTCTTGTCTTTGTCAAATGAGTCGATGCAAAGCCGCATGCACGCAGGATCGGCTCATCGCTTGGCTGCTTGTATATACATTTTGCAAGCCGTGCCGTCTGTCGGGGAGAGACTTGGCCCAGAATTCGTGACCTTCTTAACCGATGATTTGCTGGCGCATCTGAATATGATTCCAGTAGAAGACCCCAACTTCAAGGCCACAACGTGGCCAACCTTCATCATTGGCGCTGAGACTAGGAACCCGGAACGACAGAAGCATATCATGGAAAGACTACGGATAATGACGACAGTATGTCCATGGGGCTTCATCCACACCGCCATGGAGACGCTCCAAGTCATCTGGAACCTAGCGGCAGAGGAAAGAGGGTCAAAGAGTTGGGTCCAGACGCTCAGAGACCCAGAAATGAACTTTTTAATCGTATGAGTCGACCTTGTCCCAGAACGGAGGGAAGACATTTTTGAGAGCATGGGCTAAGGATGATACGTTATTGGAGGGTTCTTTCAACATCAATTCAGCCACACTTCCCAAGAATTGTCCATCATTTCCCTTCATATTGCTGCCTATCAATCCAATTCATGATGGCTTAAACTAGGGTAACAAGGTTAGCATCACCCCACCTCATAGCTTTCAGCTGTTCCCGGATGACTCATCACGAACGAGGTAGACTTGGCACCCACTCATGATATATGTTTACTGTCATGGCCGAAGCTTGTTGCAGCTTTTTTTCAAACGATACAGAGACACTTTGAACTAGTTGAACCAAAGCATGGAACCTATTTGGCCGGATTTGTTACTACCTGCTTCGCCATCACGGCGATGCCTTGATCGCTTCAGCCTCCTTGACGAAGAAGGCGCGGATGGCTTGGTAGCGTTCTGGCCGCTGCTTGAACATATACTAAGCCAACCAGTCAATACCCTGGCTCAGCTTATAGATGTGCTCGATACCGTCGCTCATGTGAACTGTGGCTCTTATGGGGCAGCACATGACTACGGTATACTAAAGGAAGCTGTGGAGCAGCACAGCGATACATTCTTCTCACGATTATGGCCAACTATTGTCCAGCTCGCTCTTATGCTACCTGATTTGTTCCCGGCACGAAAGATTCCTGTACTGCAACCAGGGGAGAAGCTGTGTCTTACAACGAAAGAAGTCTCATGCCTTGTGGCTCACCAGTTTCTCTGCACATATCAAATCCCTCCCTGGCGAGAAGGATATCACGACTTTAGCATTTGGTATGGTCCTGGACAGCGGCATCCGCAAGCGATACGAATGTATCTCACGGCACTCTTTTCATACTTTGATGAGTTCAGTGCAGAGTCACGGATGATGAACCTCGGAACGTCTCTTGACAGCCATGTCGGATTCTCTTTACATGCTTTCGACGACCCAGAAGCCTCTTTAGCATGGGAATTCGACCAATCTCGATTAAGGAGACTAAGTATTGTCCATCTGGAAAAATTTAGCACTGAGCCACAGGAAACTGTCTACCAAGGAGACAGCGGCGCAGTTGTGGTCTCTGCTAATAAGGATATTGGTTTTGGACAGTCAGCAACTCAAGAGGAATTATACATGGGTAACTGTCCCGAGGCTTGTCCTGCAGTGCTCTTCACACCCACGCTGCAAGACAACCAAGTGCTTGTTATTCGTGGGGCACGTCCTATGCTGAGAATCCTTGGTCAGCGTCGTGATATTATTTGGGAGAAACTTGCGTCAGAGGAGAAGCAAGGAGGTCGAATGCTGTTTATGGACGCGCTGGAGCTTGACGAAGCAGAAGGCTCTACAATGCTACCTGATCTGAAACAGGAACATATTTTGCGGGAGATTCGAAAGGCGTATACGGCGTTTTCATCATGGTCAGGCGGTGCGAATCCGACTGTGTGGACGGGACTATGGGGCTGTGGCGCCTTTAACGGCGACCCAGCGACTAAAGCAATCTTGATGTGGATGGCGGCTTCATTGGCCGGTAAAGAGCTGCGATTGCTCGTTGATGCTTCTCAGAGAGATTTTGGTGTAAAATTTGGACGGTTTATTGAAAGAGTTCAGGGGGCTTGGAATGTAAAGGATCTTCATGACTGTTTGAAAGCTATACCCCAGGAAATTGGACGTTGGAAAACAACGGATTGGCTACTTGAAAATGTACCCGACTGTCTATAGGGGATGATGATACCACAATACGATAGTATAATGCTATGTCTTGCTGATAGCACACTATGATACTGGCAAATGTCTGCCAAGTAACTACCAAGAGACGATATTCTTGTATCTCCTGCAGGGATTGTTACAAGTGGAAGTTTCCCAGGTCGGTGTTTTATGCAGTATATTCACATAAATGGCGTTAACTATGTAGTAGATTCACCATAACAAACCGCATTTCTGGGATAGCTTCTAATATCACTCCCCTCTATTAGCCTCACCGAATAGCAGGTGACAACCGTTGGATTGGTCAACATAGGTATTCATATTTGGTCGCTGATATTTGATAAATACTGTCAGATCCGGCTAAAAATCGCCTACAAACATATACACCAAACCCGATGCCAGCATTGGATGCTCTTCTTTCCATCATCATCAGGCAGCTTCTACTGAGTTAAATATGCGACTGTATAATTAGACAAGCAAACAAAGATAAAGACATCGTCTTTACATACCTCCTTGTTTTCATCGATCTTATATCCATATGTCTCATTGCTGAAGTCGCAGACACTCTATTGCGTACCAAAGTCCTCTGACGACTCTTTCACTGTTGGCACCCAGCCAACAATTACTATTACAAACACGAGGGGTGTTTACTTTGCGACGCATTACCGGTCCGTTTGGCTTGATGGAATTCTATAAATGATAACAACTTAATATATCTTTTAGAGACATTCGGTATGCGGTATATGAGCCACTGTTGGACGCCAGTCATCATGATCTATGGGACTTGTCGGTCATCACAACTCCCTACACGCTTCTGCAAACAGGATAGTGCACGATGAAGAATTCTCTACATGAGGATTCAGCAATGAGAACTACCAGTAATATACTCTTATTGTGATAACTGAGATATAGTTGGCTCGGCGATTTTTGTCTTTGAACAAGACCAGTTAAGGCTACCTCTCGGCGCATTTAAGCTTTATGTTACAGGAACATGTCTGTGCAAATCTTTGTCACACGCTCGTTGCGGACAACATGTCACTTATGCGACTGAATATTATGCCACAGAACGTTCTACTGGTGCGCTACCTACGTGCCCTTGACGATTAGGGCATTCAGTAGACGAACAATGAAAGGGCAAACAACTATGGTCGGGCTGTATCCTGAAGCTGGGATAAACACCAAGGTCGCACCAGTCACTGATATCGCTTAATGCGACATTTCACTAGCAATACTTGGCTGGCTTTCCACGTCACAACCTCGGCACATATAAACGACAGCGATCAGTGGCATGCTTGCTTTGCTACTTGCGTCTTGGGTTGATGACGAAACACGCTGCAGCGTAAACGAAGAGAGAGATGCTGTGTCGCAAAGGTGCAATACAGGATGTTGTAGCGCCAAAGCACAAAGACAAAGCAATTTCGATAGGCCCGGATTAATGTTTCAGTAGCGCAAGATACAACTCTAGTCACATGTAGAGGCGCCGCTGTCACACCGCAGCTCTATCACCTATCGGTTGCTATGGTCTCAGCGGCGGTCATTTGACTGGTTGATATTTGAAACGGAAAAAGTACTTCAAGTAGCTCTCAGGAGGGTGTCCTGGACCAACGAGAAGCGATTCCATAGACTTTGAGGCCGAAGAAGTTCCATCCAGAGAGGGTGTGAAGCCTTGTTCTGGAATAGCCCGACGAAATCACCCGGGGTACGTAGTTTAAGGTAGCGAATACGAAGAATCAACAGAATGTCTGGTAGAAGCGAGTTATTTTAGCACGTCTCGCATTTTCTCCAATCTGAGCGGCCATGCACGTATATATTGCTGTGGATGCTCGACGCACATGGCAGATCTTTTCTCGTTGCTCTTGCCAAACCAGTGGAAAGAAGTAAAGCTAAAAGAGAGAAAAAGCTTGTCATGAGGCTTTCCCGTGGTTACATGGCGTTACCAATGGGATCAAACTCCTGCAAGCTGCTGCAAGCCGCGCAGCCGGCCGGAGGGTGATTTGCATAAGGGCCGCTGCAGAAGATCCCGCGTGCACATCTGATGCAAGGCGGGACGGAACAGATATGGCTGTAAGGCTCGATGCAGTGCTACTTAGTACGCGAAGAAAGGCTATAACTTATTCTTGCATGTAATGCAGAATGATATACCTGTTTTGTATCATGTTAGCATAGAAGAAAATGAAACAAATGTCTCGTCCCTCAAACAGATGTTTGCATATTCATCCCATACACTCAGGCGGGGAAATACAACCATGGAACGCCGCCGCCAGCCAAAGGAGTAAGCGAGTAAATTCAGACATGTCAGATGTGACGATCGATAATGGACCAGATCCCAGCGTCGCGGAGAGGAAAGGCAGGGGATTCTAAAAGTATGGGAAGAGGAGAACCTCGGACAAAAGGGGAGGGTAGAGCGTATCTCAGACGGGCTCTTGCATGTGTCTGCGCACACCCGTCGCATGCAAGATTCTGGCGCATGGGTCAAGACAAGGCACCAGGCTGAGAGGCATCTTGGTGTACAGCCACAGTTTGGCGGATTGATAATATAGCAAGGCCCTATCAGGGCTTCTGGTCGTACCGCGGAACGGGCGATACCGCCTTTCCGTGGCGGGCGTAACATGATAAGTCGTTGTTGGAGGCATTGGAGTAATATATTGAGATGGAGGTGAGGGGCCTTTTGCATTTGTGGCTGGGGATAGAAGAATGGGTGGTTGGACAAAATGTCGCGGCGGCCAGAGGCGTTTTTGGGGTCTTGAGGCCTTTGGAGCACGGATGTGGTGTCTGGTAAGCGAAGACGTTGGAGACGGGAGAAGTTGAGTCCGGCCCGTAGCCCAGGATATTGAAAGTTGGAAGTCATCGTGATGGAAAAGAGAAGCACATGTGCCAGTAGACGTGGAAGACGATAGAAGAGGTGCAGCTACTATGGCAAGAGGGGAGACGCTCTTTCCCCAGTGCTGCGGAGGGGCCTCAACCCCTCGTGATCGCCTCGACTTTTTTACTGCCCTCGAATGTTTTTCCACTCCTGCTTTCTCTCTTTTGGCCTGTTTGCTCGTAATTAATTCTTCCTCCCAGCAGCGCTAGGCGCTGGCCGACACACACCATCTTTTGGCCGTTTGCTTTCTGTCCTGGCTCGATCCTTGGCTCATTCCCAGCTGCCTTTCCGGTCGACGATAATCGGTGTCTTAATAACGTTGGTTCCGGCCTGTTCCGCCCCTGTTCCCAAGAAAGACGCTGACGGGCGCTTTACAGCGCCTCAGATTGACCAAGAGCAGTTCCGCATCTCGCAGACTGATCTATTCCGACCGCCATCTCCAGCCAAGTGAGCGTCAACAAGCCGACAAGTCTCGGGGAACTTCCAGCTGAGCTTCAGCTTCAAGCAACGACAAAACTCGAGCACTGTCTTTACATTGCCGACAACCCGGGGTCAGCATCCTGCGATACTTCAGCTCAAAGTTTCAGCCTTCTAGCTCGGCCCCCCTTGTTCAGCTTTTTATCGATGATCAAGAGAAACGCGGTGCCAGGCCAAAGTTCATCTCGATGGGCGGAGTTCCAAACAGCCCCCAAAAACTTATTACCCGGCGTGCAGCGGTTACCCCTGCAGTGAATGCATGCTGGCAGCCGTCACCGATCAAACGGCTTGGAGCTAGATATTCGACGACGCTTCTAGAGCCATGTGATTGGTAGCCATTCACAGCCATTTGAACTCTGAATCCTAGCCGCATAAACATGATAAAGTAGCTCCCGCGGCATACAGCCGGCTGACTTCAAAAGGGGTCCAAGATTTGATACTGGCTGGCTTCGTTCACCAGCTCCTTTGCTGCTTGACCTTGACATCGCAGGCTGCTTAACTACAGACTTGCACTTACAGATATTAGTGGAACGCGGGGTGGCTACAGTGAGATACAGGTCGTACCGCTCATTCACCCTGGCACAGATATTTGGCCGCCCGCGCCGCTGGAATTGGGGCAGCTTTCAAACGGGCCATGGCCGTAGGAGCCGCCGCTTGAGCATCCGTTTGATCAAACGGAGAATGCAGGGCCGTGAATGCGTTTCTTTCCATCATCAGCTTACGTCGCCATCGTCTTCGCCATCACCGCCGTCGCAGATTTTCAGCCTCTTGACTGTTGCGGCTCTAACAGTGACAGCGCCCATCAGCCGCCGGCCGAAAACAACGACCGCCTTTCCCCCCCACGATCCTGATTCTCCAATCACAAGCTCCTTGCTGCACCAGACAGATCCCAGGATTAAAGGCCCGCGCCAAAACCTGGCCACACCGGGGGCTCGGTCTCAAACCACTCGCGCGCCGCCAGCTCTCAATCCAACCTGCGGCGTTATGCACATCACTGCCGTCATCATCCCGAGACCATGAGCCTCTGTGCATTGAGCTTGCCGAACCAGACGCTGCCGTCACTGCAACGTTCATGCACCATATTATCCTCTCCCTCCTTTGCAAACCTCGCCGTCTCGCGAAATAGTCCATCTATCGTCCTTTATCGCCCTCACTACCAACACCGCCGTCGTCCACTGCGTCAGCCCCGACTCCAACACTACAGCTATCCATCTCTCCATCGCTGCTGACCTCGTTACGGCCACGGGTGGCTCTCTCTGTCCAAGAGGCGCCGTAGCGCCTCGCTCGACAGCCAGCCATGGCCACTTCCAACACAATACCAGATACGCAGCTAGGGCTCAGTGCCGAAGAGATCCAGCTACTTCGGCAAGGTCAAGCCGCGTTGGGAGGCGGCGCAGGTTCAGCAAGCTCTCGGGCCGCCAGCAGAGCCAGCAGCCAGGGCCTCTTGATGCTAGACAGCTCGTCACTTTCAGCTCTGGGGCGATACTTTGATCGATTAATGGCCGGCATCGAGCAGAACATCCGCTACCTCAGCGAGCAAGCCCAAATGTTTACACAGGTTCAATACGACCGAGCCGGCAACATCATCGATGGCGCCGACGCCGAAATCGCACGATATGCCGACATCTTACGGCAACTCGACGAGCTCGAGGTTGATTTCGATAGGATAGCCCATATCAAAGAAATTGTCAAGGGATACAGATCAAGGGTTGAAACACTCGAAAAAGATTTGGAGAGTAGCGGTGGCGGCTCGTCAAACCGACACAAGCATTCGTCATCACATCACCACAAACACTCCCACAAGCACAGTTCATCTCGCCACAAGTGAGGCAAGATTGCCATTGCCACCACCTTCTTTTTATCCACCAGGCTGGAGTCAGCGCCGGCCTTACAGACAGATATCATCAATGTCGAATCATGCGCAGTGTGCGGGTGTCTACCGCTTGGTCACCGACAAGTTATCAAGGGAGGTCCCATAACAACCACACAAGAAATCTCGGTACAGGGTTATCAATGGAAAGGGAAAATGGATATTGCAAAAAGGGAACAAAAAATTCGTCTTGAGATGCCTAAGCTGGCAGGATGCAGCTGTTGTAGAGGGGGGTTTGTATATTCTCGAGGTTGCGGGACTACAGCCGCGAAATTTCCTCAAGACGGGTGAGGCCTCGCGGCTGAGCAAGAAAGGAAAAAGCCTCACGGCTCGTCATTTCAGTTTTAGGTTTGGGCATACTTGGCTTTGAGGCGTTGAGACTTGTGATTTCTGCTTTTTTGGATTTTTTTCTTCTTTACTCTTTTCTTCTTCGCTACATTGCAATCGCTCACGCCGCATGCTTGGGTTTTCTTGGTTCTAACAATTGTTTTATTATGCTTTTTAACTGGTATTGGGGAGCTGAAGATTTTGCATTTATGTATGTTTGGGAGCAATTTTGTTTAACAGGAGCGAAGAAGAAACAGGAGTCTTTCTCTCTATGATACCGGAATACGGCGTTTGTGGTCATTTTACAATCTGCTCTCTATACCCTTTGGAAAGATTTGGAAAGATGCTGTTTTCTTGCCGGGTGTCGGCAGAAACAGAGAGGCACGAGCCTACTTGGGCCAGGCTTATGGTGTTTGGATTGAGGCACGAGCAACAGCGCAGCGGCCTGGATGTGATGCAATGCACTCGCCTCCCCGTGGAGAGAGACCGCTGCTCGGCCATGCAAGCAGGCGAGGCGGTATGCATCAAACACGCAGCTCCAGAGCCGTGCGCTGTGAATCATTAGCATTAGCAGGATTATTAAGACGTAATACGAGTTGGCGCAACGGATCCCGTACAGGGCGACAGCGCAACTTTTTACCATTCTCTCTTTCCCGTGCCCCCTCTTCAGTTGGTGACTGTCAATTTCGGTGTAGACCAGGTTACTGGTTGGTTGTGGAGATTCAGTCACCGCATCAATAGCTGCATGAATCACTTGAGCCGACCCAACGGACTAGACGACGTGTCTCTGTTGACTGGAGTTGGGAAAATATGGCTAAATGGATAGACGGATGTTTCGCGGTGGTTGGCGATTGGGCATTGAATGGGCAAAATCAGAGCATTTGGTTCGTTCGTCGTACTTCACTTATCTTTGCCTTCATTTCAAAAGAGGAGGCGTGTGATGCATTCTGCATGTCTTGAAGACTGCCGATAGCCTTGACTTTATATCTCGCGGCCGTGGAGATGATTAAGCAATGGTTAATCCAATGCCTTTTGCAGTTCATATCTCTCTCTCACACACACTCAATTTGTCTCGCTCAACTCTTGCCTAAAATAGACCAAGATAGGAAAGAGTATCGTTGATTCGTCATTGTCGCGAATGGTCCGATGCCGATGAACATTTGGACAGTGCAGTACAGCCAATAAAAAACCGCTTCAAGAGATCATGGTTCAAACCATTCAAGGAGTTTATATGTGCGTTCTATCTAAAGCCATCCGCCAAGCTAAAAAGTCATAGACATGGTTTCGTGATATATGAGGTCCCTACATCAAACACCTCCAAAAAAAAGGGGGGGGAACAAAAAAATTAAAAGCACAGGCAGCGAGATGACAAAACAGATTTCACAATACTTTTACTCCCCTAAGTTTTTGTAGAATGACGTTTGTGGATTGTATCTCTCTCTCTCTCTCCTGTCTGTCATGTCTCTCCTGAAAAACGCCCAAGCTAAAAAAAAGAAAAAAAAGAAAAGAGATCAAACCAAAAGACAACCAAAAGCCAACCAAAAAAACAAAAGCATACGCCAGCCAATAAACCAGCCAGCTTGACAAAATTCGGACCCTCGCGCCACATTTCTTCATAACGGGATACAGGAAAAAGAGGGGAAAACACACAAGACTCAAATACAAGAGAAGAAGACGAAAAAGAGGGGGAAGAGAAGAGAAGAGAGAGAAGAGGAATAAATTGAACTCCACTCCCTGGGGAATGTGCTGTCCGCTGAATAATTTCCGCGTCTAATGCGTCTTTTCACTTCTCGCGAAGGCGAAAAAGAATAACGAAAGAACCAAATCAAACGCTTTTGTTTGGATTGCGGCTCCGGCTCGCGTCCTCAAACTCGTCTTGGCGCAAAAGGCAAGAATGAATACGAAGAACGACCATAAAAGAAAGAAAGGGGCAAATGATTAAACGAGGTAACACACGGGTTATGAACTCGTGCTGATGCAGGCTTTTAGCATGGAAAATGGTTCCGTGCTAAAAGAGGTGGAAATATGCGTGTCCCATCGTTGCTATTGCTATCAAGTATCGTAACGCGATACACCAGCCGCAGTAGCGGCAGCAGTAGCAGCAACAGACGAGATCAATGGTAATGTACGGTTTCCATATATGTGTAGTTTGGGGTATGATGTCGATGATCAATCGGTGTTGTGCAATGCCATGCATGAAAAAGAATCCTGAAAAGTCACCCCCTAGACCAATTAGGGGGCTCAAAGTAGATCCCAAGCAAAACAAGAAAATCCAACCAGTCGTTATAAAAATTGGGCAAAAGAAAGGAATGTTTTTTCCCCTTATTCTCGCCCTCTTTTTCTATCTTTTTGTAAATCCTTCACCACCGCCAAGCTGCCTAAACCTGCGCGATGCGTCGGGTCCGAACCAGGAAGGGACTCGGCATCTCGTCTCGCTCCGGGTCCCACACGGCCACCGGCTCGTGTCCGGAGCTGACTACACGATCTCGATGTGGCTTCGTCGAAGCCGCGGCCCTCTTAGAGCTCACGTTCTCGCCCAGCGGTATGCCCGGGACGCTCAGGGGGCGGCCTCCAGCACGTGCCTGCTGCAGCTCGACCAGTGTCCGGCCCTTGACGTCCCTCTTAGTGGCTGTCACTTTGCTATGCGCAGAGCCGTCCTTCTTAGATGACAACCTGCGAGACGTGCTGGATGACGCGGACGTGGGCGACGGGGTGTTAGCCTCACTGACATTTTTCGTCCCCGTGAGGTTAGCGACGGAGGGAATCTTAGTCAACCGGCTGACTGGAGAGCGCGACCGTGTGGTTGGAGCAGAGGTGACGGCGGCTTTGGAGACGAAGCCGCTCGACTTGGTTCCGCTAGTTCTCAGACGAGAGGTAATGTTAGAGGCCTTTTGCGAAGAGAGAACCGGCCGATCTTTGTTCGTAAAGGGATTGTTAATCGATGAACTGTTTGTTGATCTGTGTCGCGTCGGCGAAGAAGGAGTAACGTCGTCGTCGTCTGAGTCTTCAAAGGCTTCTCTCATCAGATCCCAATTTTCCGCCCTGGAAGCCGAGTTCGCCGCAAAGATGTTACCTTGGTGCGTTGGAACCTTGCCGCGGCGGCGCGGAGACAGCGATAGCGAGGCAATGGCCACAGGGGGCGAGTCCATTTCGATATCCATGGGAGTGCCGTGGGGGCCGGCATACGTTTGGGCCCTGCTATAGGGCGTCCGCGCTGTTCGTTTGACTTCCTTGTTGAAGTCTGGGCTTTCGGCATTGTAAGAAAGCTCTGTGATGTCGGTGGTGGAAGGGAACTCGTCGCCGCTCCCGTCAGCAGACGAGTTTTGCGGCTGGTCAGATCTCGCGGCAGGAGAGTCGATAATTTGCACGTCTTCTGTTGGTGGTGATGGTGCTCTCTTGCGGCTTTTTTCCAGCTCCCTCTCCACGCGGCTCCTGACCTCCTCGTCAAACTGCTTCTTCAGTCTCTCCATTTCTGCGTTTATCTGTCGATCGATTTCCAGTCGGGCTTTGACCTCCCACTCTCTTCGTATAGAGGCGTCCAGCTCTTCGCGCATTATGTGCTTCTCCTTATCCATGCTGACCAGTCGCAAATTCAGTGTCGCCTCCTTCTCGCGTAGGATCTCCTCACGCGCCTTAAGCGCTCGGTTCAGATCAACCACCTCCTTTTCTTTCCTCATAAGCTTCACAATTGGGTTGTTGAGCAGCTGCGCGGTATCCGGTCTCCTATCGGGGTTGACCTTGAGGCAGTCTTTGATGACGTGGTTGAGTTCGGCAGAGTACATGTCCGGCAGAGGATTAATCCTGCCGTCTTTGATCTTCTGAATGAGTTGGAAATGCGTCTTTGCGTTGAACGGGGGCTCGCGAGCGCAGAGTTCGTAGATGATGCAACCCAGTGACCAAATGTCTGACTTGAGGGTGTATTTCTCGGCCGCGCAGATCTCGGGTGACATGTAGAATGGGGTGCCGACGTAAGTGGAAGCAAAGTCCTGCGACTTGATCATCTTTGACAGGCCAAAGTCACCCAGCTTGACGGAGTTGTCTTCGCCCAGAAACACTATTTAACAGAACGGTCATATCAGTTAAATGCTGACCTCCAACCTTTGCAACAAGCTTATTTTCTGCTCTCACCATTTTCAGGCTTCAAATCTCGGTGTAGGATCGTCACGGCGCCCGCCGGCGGCTTCGGAGCACCGGTTCCAGACGGATCGAGGACATTGCCGCCAACCTCCGGAGGGTCTATTCCATAATGACAGCGATACAGCGCCAGAACCAGCTGGCTGAAGATGCTCCAGACGAAGCTCTCTTGCGCCCGCTGGCCCTTTAACTGCAGATCCTTGATGACGCGCCCAAGATCGCCGTTGCCGCAGTATTCCATGTATAGATGCAGGTCCTGGCTGGCCTTGAGGTGCTCGCGGTGGTAGTAGGCGACGATGTGCGGATGGCGGAGATGCGACAGGATCTGGAACTCGGCGTGGAGCTGCTCGCGCTCTTTCTGCGACATGCGGAGGTAGGAGATTTCTTTGCGGCACATGATGAAGCCGTCGGCCTTGCGCCGGACCTTGCGAATGATGCCAAAGGAGCCATGGCCTGGATAATGACGCAATCTTAGCTGGGGGCTCTGAACGGTCAAAAGCAGCGGATATCATTCATTCATGCTCGGAGCCACTCACCAATCTTCTCCAACGTCTCGTACTTGTCCTCGTATGACATGGTGAGCGTTTCTCACGGTGGTACCAGCGATGGTTTATCTGTATTCGAGCCCCATAAAGGAACCGTTCTCGACCACACGACCGGGAGAGGAGAGGAGAGGAGAGGAGGATGGAGGGGGGGGGAAAGTGGGTAGGATGGGGAGAGTATAAAAGAAGCCAAAAGAAAAAAGAAAAAAAGATGATGCTGCTATTGTTCTTTCTCGTACTGTTGGGTTAGTTGGTACCAAAAGCAAAGATGCTAAGTGGAGGGGGGAAAGCTTGTTCTGGTGATGCTGTTTCAACGGCGGAGAGGGAAAAGTTTACAAGGGAAAAGGTTAATACAATGAATGGACAGCAGAGCAACGAGGCTTGAACCACCGAAATGGGGCGTCTTCCAGCTTAGCCTCTCGTACAGTAAGAAAAAAAGGGTTCCAAACCCAAAAGAGCTGGAGCGGAACCACCAGTTGCTGCTCTGGCTGCGCTGAAAACAAAAAGGCAGCGCTCGTGCGTGCGCTTTTGCTTTGGATGCGCCCAAAAAGGGACCCTGGTTCCGCCAATTCGTCGGCGCTAGAGGACCGGGGGCCCAAGTCAGTTGATGTAAACAGTGCACGCGGGTGCCATGGCAACGGGCCCAAAGAGGAAAGACCGCGATATAGCCGCCTATCGATAACGCAATGAAAAAGTCACGGCGCCACCTGCCCCATTGTGTGGCTTGTCAGGCAAAACGTGGCGCATTATGAGATGCTGTGAAGCGGTCTACGAAACGACGGGAAATTCATCAATGAGCTTTAGGGTAAGACAGGCAAAAGATGAAATAGTTACGTGGTCTATAAGTAGCATTATGTTATGAGACGAGTAAGCATGTATGATTGATGTAAAATACAAGAATATCTTACACCAAACATCGGTGGGCCCTTTGGCAGCTGCGATGACACCCAAGATAAGCGGCAAAGTTATCTCCGTCCAGAAGCATTTCGCCTTTTTTAGCCACTTTACATAATCCTCACTTATTGCAACTTGCTTTTTTATAACACTCATAGCGACATTGCATTCACCCTCCATATCATCCAACTCTCTTCCTTGCATTGCCCTTTTCTTTCTTTTTCTCTTTTCTTCTTTCAAGCTTTTTAAAAAAGTGAAAACAACTAGTAAAAGATGGTACTGGGAAAGCATGAGCTGGAAGGCAAATTGGGCGAAGAGAGCCTGCTGATAAAAAGCGGCGTGCTGCGAGACGAGAACCCCCTCGACACGAGTGCGCAGTTTCATGAATTCCTGCTGGCGTGTCGGCAGGGCGATTTGCAAAAATGCCAGCAACTCATCTCTATGGGCGTCAATATCAACGGCAAGGACAAGTTTGATTACACGCCGTTGATTCTGGTGAGTCTTGCGTTTTGTCGGACTTAACGGCGGGGAGAAGTTGACGATGAGGAACACCTTAGGCTAGTTTGTGTGGGCATTATGAGTTGGTCCAGGTTTTATTAGAAGCAGGTATGTCTTATTTCATCTTAATCTGCCTTGTTCTAGTTTTTATCAATTCTCAATCTTTTGCCATTACTCCTCATATCATATCCCACCGAACCCCTCCTCAAGCATAACTCGGCACCATGAAGAGCTCACTCACTCATACATCTCACCCACCACAGGTGCCCTCGCCGAGAGGAACACATTTCAAGGCGAGCGCTGCATCTACAACGCCCTCAACGACCGGATACGCAATCTCCTCCTGCAGTACGACTTTTCCAAGAGCTCAGATCCCTACGTGTATTGGTCATCGCACATTTCCACCCTATTGGGCCGGCCGGCTCCGCAGACGGCCGACATCTCGCTCGACGCCGGCAACCGGTCCTTCAACCTGCACAAGTTCCTGCTGGCCTCACGGACGCCGTATTTCCGCCGCAAACTGGAGGTAGCACCGGAGACCACGTTGTATAAGCTGTCGTCGTCTATTCCTGTGGAGGCGTTCCAAATTGCCGTTCGCTACATCTATTTGGGTGATTTACCCAAGGATCTTGCGCCGCCGGGCAGTGCCACCACCGAGGAAGAGGTTGCCAAGGGCTTGGATAAGATCAGCAAGCTGCTTGAAATCGAACAGCTGTGGGAGGCCATCTTGGTGGGCAATGACCGCAGATTGGCGCGGCAGCGGTACGAGGATGAGGTTGAGAGAGCAAGGAATCAGATAGGAGACTTCTTCCAGCGGAGTATTGTTGGACACAAGATGGTTGTGGACATTGATAGGGTCGACGAAGTCCGATGGAAATACGACAACTCCATCTTTGCAGACATATTGCTGCGAGCTGATGAGCCTGAAACCGCGGACGAACAAGCCGATGACCTCAAGGATTCATCATCGAATGGCTTCATCAGCGCCGGCATCCCCATTGGCCCATCACAAACAACCAACGGCACCAAGAAGACGCGGAAATCAGTGCTATATCCCGCCCACAAGGCCATGCTCATCCGCAGCGAATACTTCGACAAGATGTTCTCAGGCGATTTTGTCGAGTCCCAAAAGTCAAACCACCTCCACGTCGTCACTGTAGACTGCCCGCCCGCCGTCCTGGAACTCATCCTCTCATTCCTCTACACCGAAACAGCCACATGCCCCCTCGAGCACGCCCTGGACCTCCTTTACGCAGCCGACATGCTCTTCCTCGACAGCCTCAAGAACAAGGCTGCCGTCGCCATCAGCACCCTCGGCAGCGGCTCCAAAAACGCTCTGATCGACCGTACGCACAACATCAATGGCGAGAATGGCGATATCGTAGAGGTAGAGCCCATCAACATCTACGACGTGATCCACGCGGCTTGGGACTTGAGGGTCCAGCGCCTGGAAGAGTTTGCGGCGCGATACCTGGCGCACCGTCTAGAGTATTACATTGACGAGCCAGACTTCCACGAGCTTATCAAAGAGAGCGCAGAGCGTATCCAGAAGCGTGAAGAGACAGACACCATTGAATTGCTAGATGACATCCGGTACTACCTCTCAGAACGCTTTCGCCTGCGCTTCGAAGACGCCGGCCTGGAAGACATGATGGACGAAGAAGGCGAGATCAACGCACAACTGGCTGCGGCCCTGGCAGATGGCACCCCAGATGCTCAGCCTGAAGAAGCAAAGAACGGTTTGGCAACCGACGCTGCCGTCAATGGCGAAACGACAGCTCCTCATCAAGCTGCTGCTGCTGCTGAAACAAAGAAAAGCGAGGATGACAACGACCAGACTGGAGAAGGAGGAGGAGAAGCCATGCGGACGTTGGATGGAGAGACGGCAGAAGATGAATTTGCGTCGGATGCGATTAATTATCAAATTCTGCTGCAAAAGATTGATGCCATGTTGGAGGGCTTGAAGCTGGATGCATAAATGGGTGGCGCACATGTGCATGATTGCATTTATACATGGGATACTGAGTCGATTCATACAATGCATATATATTTTCATGGTGTTCTCTATCTGTCTGGATCATCGGGCGATTATCAATACCCCTTTGGTCTTCTTGCTGAGCTACGTGTAGAATCTGTATACTTCAACTTTACAAGTGAACGAGAAACAGCGCCTATCGCTTATCATCAAAATCACAAGCGTCTAATAATACATCTCAGTAAACAAAGAGCCTCGCTCATAATTCCACTATAGCTACACACTAGATCTAAAGCAAAACTCGCTTTAATACTTCACAAGCTTCACCTTCGCCTGCAGCCCCTCCGGCAACTCCTCCAACTTCACCAACCCCAGCTGCACACAATCTCCCCAGAAAAACATGGCTCGCTCCTGCGCATAGCTCAAGTAATCAAACTCGTCCGCGCCAGGCTCCTCGTCAGCAGGATTCCCATCAAGACCAGGCACCTTGGCCTGCACAATGCCCCAGGCAATCCACTGCGCGCTGTTCGCCGGCTGCCACAGCCGCGCCTCGTCAATGAGCTCCCGAACCTGCTGGTCAATCTGCTCCTCGCGCGCCTTTTCGACTGCGCCCCAGTCTCCGCCGGGGTAGCGAGCGTCGAGCATAAAGTCGACAATGGAGCTGCTGGACGCCGTCGCCTGGAGAGATGGCGTCGCCGTGCCACTGGGAGTGCTGCTATCGACGGGAGTCATGCGGGGTGTCGAGCTGGCGAGCGGGAACTTGGGGCGGTGGTCTACATATGCCCTGATGAATCGCTTCTGCTCTTCCAGGCTCGGATAACGATCGGCGTGGCAAGCAAAGGGAGCTATGGGATCGTGGTAGTTGTACATCCATTCCGTGAAATGATTGGCAAATTCGTGTCCAGCTGTGTTGGGACCTGCGTACTCGAAATCAATGACGACGAGCTGTTTGTGCTTGTTGGCAGGCTGAAGGAGTGGTGATTTCTCATCATCGGGCCGGATCCTTAGAATATTGCCGTATTGAGTCTGGGGAAACGGGTTAGCTTTGGCAAGTATATATAGGTTAATATGAATGAAAAGAGAGATCCTTACATCGTTGTGCGCAAAAACAAGGCGGTCTTTGAGGGCCCTCTTATCCTTGTAGCAGCCGTTCAAATAGGCTCTGTACCTAATCACCACATCTTTAAACTGTTCCCAAGGCACTCCGCACACATAACCGTTGGCTTTCCAAGCATGCGCAGCAGAGGGTCCTCTCTCTCCTTCTGGAGTATTGTCCAACTCCTTGTCCAAGAAACTGGTGATGCGGCCGACGTTATCCAGCCACTGGTCCCAGTTCTTCCAGACAGAAGCACCATTCTCCCTTTCGTGCACCAGTACCTCAATTCCCTCGTGCAGCTCCCTCATACGCTTCGCAATCTGCCTCGATGTCTCTGGCTCTCGCAAGTTCAGTGGGGTAAGCGTAATAGCGTTGAAGAACTGCTCGAACCGGCCATTCTTAAAGGTTCCCAGCAGGCGCGGACCAATCTTCTTGCGCGCAAGTCGCTGCAACACTTGCAGCTCATTCTCTCGGTCGATGAGATGCTCCACCTGTGGTCCATACACTCGAAGTAAGACTTTTGTCGGAGGCTTTTTTCCATCAAGCTGCGAGATCCCAGCCGGCGGAGTGACAACGTATACAGCGTTTGTCAGAGCACCGCTCAGTCGCTCAACCGCCATGGCCTCGCCGCTACCAAGAGGAATACGGCGCCAGCCTTTGAGCCTCAGCGTGTGAGCTATCCGCAGGATCTCATTCTTGAAACTAGTCCATGCCTCCTTCTCTTTTTCAACCTTGACCGAAAGATCCTCCGCGCTGGCGCTACCTCCAGTGTAGCTCATGGTCTTGGAGTTGTCAAGCCAAGCGTCACAGCTGGGAACGATAGCATCGCCATCCACATAGTCGGTGTCTGAAGAGGCCGTGCGGTGCAAAGACGTACGAGAACCTGGTCGGCGGTGCTTGGGGCCGATTCGCGGGCTGTATTTCGGCAGCGAATTGAGTCCCAGAGAAGCCATTGACGTCTCCAGAATGTGCTGCAAGCCGTCAAAAGAGATATCGCTCGACTGTGAGCTCGTGGAATTCGATCTTTCGCGCGAAGGTTGGCTGGGAGACTCAGCCGCAGCCGCATCTGTAGCCGCGATGGTCTGGTCGGACGGCGGTGATTTCGACTTGCGCCGACGAGGCTTCAGCTTCCTCGTGGCAATCTTCTTGCGCTCTCGCTCCAGCCATTCTCCAACCTGCGCCAATATCCTCTCGCTCTGGTGGTTTCGGCGGTGACTATGGTGATGCGACGTCAATGCCGAATCCTCCACGGGCCGCAGAGCTGGCGAGGCGCTTGCAGAAAGCCGGCCGCTGAGTCGACGAGTGGGGGCTGTCTGCAGACTACGACGCTGCTTGCCGTGATGCGAATCATCTTCGATATAGTCCTCGGGGACAGGGTCCGCGATCTGCACTGCTGTGACGAGTGTAAGCCCAGAGCCGGCAACGTCTTTCATATCTCCATCTCCCGAATTTTACCTCATCGGCCTACGATAACACGACGAGTAAGGCACGCAAAGGGAATCGCACGCAGAGGTCCATAACGTATTCACCCCACCAGCTGAACCCCGCTGCATCAGGCGAGCTTGTCATGGTGTAGCAGCATCGCAACACCCAAAAGCCACCCAAGGTCCCCCCTTGAGGCATTGTCCAGTCCACAAACGAGTATTTTCCGAGTGACCAAATTCATAGATCAAGGCGACGTATTTTCCTTCGGTTCCATTGGCTGCGAAATCATATTGTCCACGTACCTTTGAGAGTGCCGCTAGCAGGCGGAGTTCGAACTGCTTCGTCGTCGGCCTTGAGAGCCGAGCGCAACGGCGTCGGAGGGTGCGTGCCTGGCGTGTCGGCCATTTGAGCGAATGCAAAGGAGAGATTTCCTGCAGAGGTCGCGAAGAGGGAAATGCGGCAGCTGTGTGTTTTGGGCTCCAGAAAGATTCTAAGCGAGGGCGCGAACGAGTTGTCGTGGGGGTCTCGAATGTCTCAAGCCTCAGAAAGAGAGGGTCAGAGGGAAAGTTGCAAGTGGCAACAAGTCGTTAGTTCTAGACAACCGCTAGATCTACTATGATTATCACCTAATGGCAATAATAGAAAGAAAAGAAAAGACAAGCAAGACTGCGTCCAAGAGAAAACGAAAAAAAAAAAGATAGAGAGGGGAAAGACCGAATGTGTGGAAAAGAGAAAAAGGCCTGGGAGTACGAAAGCAGCGCTCGTGACCAGTGACGGCAAGTTTTGGCTGGGGGTTAAACAAGCTCGACAAAAGGCCTAGGACGGTCTATGCGAACGCCACGTTCTTCTGTGTTACCCAAAAAAAAAAGTCCTGATAAGGGATCCAGGATTCGACTAGGCCTGACTACAAGAGGAGGGATCCTCAGGAGGCTAAAGCGTGAAGGGACCAACCAGATGACGTACTGGCAGCACCGTGGCTTTGTCTCTGCGCCGACTTGTTCACACGTTTCTCTCTTTTACTGGCTTCCACGTTGTTTACACGCTATGACGATATAATGTTTCCATCCAGAGAGTTTGCGCCGTCGTACCACGGCCCGTTGCGCTGCCAAACTGCAGGTGTAGGTTCAAATGGTGGCAGGCCAACAAATCCATTAATAGAGTCCATGTACGTAAATGCATCCAGCCGCAGACATGTTGATTTTGGGGGTCTCTACATGGACCTACCCAAGACGGATAGAATCGTCCAATAGTAGCACCATCCAATTCACTTGATCCCAACAAAACACAAACTCAGCCTCCTTTATTCCTCTCTTCTCCTACACGATGCATGTTCAATCGACCAATAGCCCTGACAGCCTCTTCTCCCTCTCGGTCGCCGCAAGAGGAAATCTCGTGCGTGCCTCCAGGCGCTGAGGCCTGTCCCCCGAACCCACTTTCTTATCTCGGCAAGGAACGGTTTTGCTGCTCGCGTGCGCACTATTTCCCACGCCAGCCCATCAGTTCTGTTTCGTTCTATTGGCTCTAATGCTGTGACGGCTCTAATTAGGCGTAACAAACAGTAATTGTATGCACCGAGACAAGGACCAAAGCGACGAAGCGAGCTCCCTTCAGACCCAGTCCTCCTCGCTAGCAGCCAACCAGTCCCTCGTCACCTCCACTCCCTCGTTCCTCATGGCCCATGCAATCGCCTCAACAACATCGTCGACAATCACCGCAGGCTTGTACCTCGGCTCTCTCTGCGCCGCCGTCTCTTTCCACACGCCAGTCTTGACCAGAATCGAGATCCACTGCGTGCCGTCGTCCGGCGCAAACTCGTTGGCGCCGCGGATGTCGCTTTCCGGATTGTCGCCAATCATGTACACTCTCTTCAACGGTCGCTTCTTGTCGCCTTGGTCGCGGTGGTTCAGCAACCTATCGTGTGCGTACTGGTAAGTGTGTCGGAATGGCTTGCCCAGGGCGCTGAACTGCAGCTCGGCGCCACCCGTCGATGCGGCCCACACGCCCTTGAGCGCCTCGACAAAGGCGCCGGTGCCGAATCGGTTGACGGGGTACTCCGTCTTCCATAGCAAATCCAGGTTGGAGATCCAGAGCTGTGGCTGGCCGTCTTGCTGCCATCCATTGTTGGGGAGTGAGGAGTTGCCGTTCTTGTCGGAGATGGTGCCTAGATAGCCGCGATGCGAGATGAGCAGATCGTGGATCACCTGGATGTCCAGGGACCAGTCCCTCGGGTCGTTCCAGACAAGGATCTGGTCAATCTTGAGCGCATTTGCCGGCACGTCCTTGCTGTAGGGGTCGATTGTGTTTGAAACAATCTTGCCGTCGGGAAGAGGCCTTGATTCCTTGTGAAGGCTCTCTCTCAAGTTGTCAAATGGATATACCTTGTCATTGGCTTCGATAATGTCTGCAGGTGTCACGGCCCTTTCGAACCCGTATCTGCGCCCACCTACTGTCAGTATGTATAGCTCTTTCACCCGGACGTCACAAGGGGGCATGGGTTAGCACCGACTCATTGGCTACCCTGCGAGCAGTCTCTGGGTAAGATCCCGTAATCAGCACCGTCCCTTGCTTCTTCGCCTGCTCATCCCACCCTCGCATTGGCGTGTGCGACAGGATGATCCTGTTGCGGATGACGTCCTCGTCTTCCGACATCCCAAGCCGCTTAGACAAAGATCTGTACTTGGCATCTTCATGGCTGCCGCCGCCATTGGTTAGGAAAACGTATCGGGCATCGTGCGCTCTAATTTTCCTCAACATCTCGCGAGCTCCTGGAATTGGCCTTGAGCCCTGGTATAAAACTCCATCGATGCTGTGAATCCGCTATAATTAGTTATAAGCCTGCAACCGGTACTCTGTATACGGCACTCTGGATCATAACGGGGGCAAGGCATAGAAGGGGGAGTTTGGAAGAGAGCTTCATACTCAAAGGCAAAGGCAATCTCCGATAACGCCTTGTGCGCATCGCCATTCACTGCGCCCTGTTTCACAACTGATGGAGGCGATCTAATCTTTTCGCGTAATGACGTTGAAACATGGAATCCTCGCTTGCTTGCGCTTGTCCGAGTCGCGCTCACGCTGAAGCTGGTGAGAGCCGGCGATGGCTGGGCAATAAAGCCAAGTTGCGACCCAGGGATCAGCCGGCATCGGCTCAATACCCTCGCGCGCGACATTCTGGTGTATAAATCCGCTGAGTCTCAATCGCAAAGAAGTCAACAACAACAGATGCCAGGGCAGAGTGATCGCTGAAACTGTGCCAAAGACCTGGCGCCGTGAAAAGCAGAATCTCAGTTGTAGTTGAAGCAAGTTAGAGAAGCCGCAAAGTCGCAGCCGCCCGATGCTGGCCGGGGAGCTCCGTATCTCCACAGTCTTTAAGTCTCCCCGCGATGGCGGCTGGAAATAATCCACGTCCGGCGTGACTCAACTTTATATAATAATTTCTATAATCTTTTGGGTTATTCGTCTAATGTTCACTTTTGCTAAGAATAATGGTATGTTCGTTATATCAAGATTGAGTGGTTAATTGCTAAGGTAGATAAGCATCCTTCATCCTTCTATGGCTTAGTGGTACACTACTTTTACAAGTCCTTTTATATTTCGCTTTTCCTTTCCGTCATGGCATCAGTCATTCTAATGGTTCCTCTTCCAGTCATTCAAGTGATCAGTCAACAGCTTCGCACCCTCTTCTGGTGAATGCTGTCGTCCCAGAGCCTCTACAAAGTCGCCATCTGGATCCATCAGGTAAAAGTAGATGCTGTGATCGACCAAGTAGTCCTGTCCAGGCTTGACGTCTCGTGGCGTGCTAAAGTACACTCTATACTTCTTGCACATCTCTTTAATTTCATCATAGGTACCCGTCAGACCAATCAGCTTGGGGCTGAATTCAGCAAGGTAGTCCTTGAGCGCTGCAGGGTCGTCGCGGGCCGGGTCGCAGGTCACAAAGATGGGGAGCAGTCCGTTGTTGGGGATCTTGGCATCGACAATCTCCAGCATGCGGGCCATCTTGTCGAGCTCTTCCGGGCAGATATCGGGGCAGCGCGTGAATCCAAAGTAGACCTGACAAGAGGGAAGCGAGTTAGAGTCCCATCACATGTTGTACTTGCTCAGTATTTGCTTGCTTACCAGTGAATGCCTGCCGCGCATCATTTCGTCGGTAAATTTCTCGCCGTTTTGATCAATCAGCTCGAAGGGTCCGCCAACTTTAGGACGGCCAACGCCCTTTGTGGTCTCTGCTACTCTCTTTCGCTGCATGCGCTCTTTTTCGAATTCAAAGTACCACACCAGTCCACCACATGTAGCCACAAACAAGATGGCTGCCTTCCACGAGAAGGGCTGCGCGAGAAGTCAGTAACTCTGTAGCTCACATCATTGGCTTGAAGTCGCCGAAGCTGCTCAAGAGCCTATAAGAACCAAAAGACTGCTCATACCCCTGTGCTATACCGACTCTTTGCTTGCTCGATTGTCTTGTATTTCGTTCGCTTCTGTGTAATCGGCTGTCGGGACTGAACAGGCACTCGCGGGAGGACAGGCCGAAGCTGTTTCGGCTGGAATGCGCTGCTGGAGATGCATCGCTGGCATTGTCGCGCAGGCAGCTTTCGCAGGGCGCCTTGAAGGGCCCTTGACGAGGCAAACATTGAGTGCGACATGCTTTCCGCTCTAATTGTCGCTCTGCGCAGCCTCAATGGAAGAAGTGAAGCCGAGGAATCCTGCGCCAGCTTCCTAAATATCGTCAGATGCTGCCCCACCACCGCTGCAATTGAGCAAGTTGTTTAATAATGCGACCAAGATTTACCTACTAACGCCGGATATCTGCCGAAGTCGATCCAAGAAGCTTATTGTGGCGCTTAGTCAGGCCGAAATTCCATCTCTAAACTAGTATATGGCTTTTGCTGGATATTGTCCCCTGCGCATATCTCAAAAACACTAATGTGAGGCGATTGTTATAAATTCCTACGGCTATATACAGTATTGTCGATTGAAAAGATCAATGTGGTTTGATTGTCCGTGTTAATTTTATTGTGCACCTATTGTACGGAGACCAGGGTGACGCAGCAATTGTTTGTTGGCTGGGGACAATCCATCTACAGGCGGCCATATTCTCATTTACAACGCCTGAATAATGGAGCCATCCCGGGGAAGCACGGGGCCCTACATCATGGAAACGCGATTCGAGCTTATTGATGAGGATATCAAAAGCGAGAGCGCGGTGAATTCACCGATGCCGCCATTTTCTGAGACCATCCCGCCGTTTAAATCCTCGACTCCCTTACCTTCCACAGAAACAGCAGAGATGACAGATGATGCACCACCAATGGCCGGCCCAACACCCGCTGCAAAAAAGAAGAAGGGGACGGCTTCGACCGTCAAAAAGGCCCCCAAGCGCCCCAAATCAGTACGGGAGCCCAAAAAGCCAAAATCTGCAAAGTCGACGGAAGCCAACAGTACCGCGGCAGAAGACGCATCCGATGAAGACGACGAGTCTGATAACGGACCATACTGCCTCTGTAGAGGGCCAGACGACCACCGCTGGATGATTTGCTGTGAGAGGTGCGAAGACTGGTTTCATGGAGAGTGCGTGCATATCGCCAAGGACGTCGGCGAGAGTCTCATTGAGAAGTTTATCTGTCCAAACTGCACGACGGACAACCTCATGACACTCTACAAAAAGACTTGCACTCTGGGCTCGTGCCGCAAGGCTGCTCGCCTGAATCACAGCCCACCCAGCGTGTTTTGCTCCGACGAACATGCTCAGACATGGTGGGAGCGCATGCTGGCTAGACTACCCAAAGCGAAAGCCAGAGCTGCGCTTAGCGACGAGCTCTCGCAAGAAGAATTCATGGCACTGCTGAGCAGCGATCTTGCGACGATTGATGGGGATGGAGCCTGGACTCTGAGAGCCCCTTTTTCAGGTCAAAAGTCGGAAATGAATGGCGATGAGACTGGTGAGTGCTCGTACCGCTTTTACTATCAAAGTTTTCTCCCCTTGCTAACGACTCTCACAGCAATTGAAGAACGTTTGGCTCAAATCTTGACAGAAGAAGAGAAGGACTACCTGGCTAAAAAAGCCCATGCTAGATTCAAGCTGGCCGAGGAGACACTTCTCTGCCAAAAGATGATTACCCTCGTCGAATTGGTCCAAGAGCGCCGTCGAGCCGCCATCAGCGCAGGTCTATTTGCGGAAGACATTTGCGGCTACGATCAGAGACTTGATACCATTGGCTCACGAGACGCTTTCGCCGCTTTTGTCAAGTCGCCCGAAGGCGAGGCCATCTTCCAGGCATCAAAAGTCGGAGATCCTCTCGGAGAGGGCGACGAGGTCAGGGGCATGTGCGAGCGCAAGCGGTGCAAGATCCACAGCGGCTGGCATAAGATGCTGGTGCTGGCTGTCAAGTATCAGATTAAGGAGCTGTCAGATCAGGCAGCGGAAGTTGGTGAGAATGAGAGGATTCTGAGAGAGGCCGCTGAGGAGAGATGGAGAAGACGGCAAGCCGAGCAGAATTGGGTTGAGGTGCTTGATGGATAAATGGAGAAGGAGGTGCCTCTCTGCATGGCTTTAACGAACGGGGACTGGGTCCGGTTATAGGCGCTTTGGTGTTCTAAGCGAGAATGAATAGGCCGTTAATGAAGCCTTTTATCACTGGTTTTTTATACATATAATAATACGACGTAAGGTGTTCTATGTTGCACCTAGGATATGAGCATTCGAATTCGAGTCATCAGGACGTGATATCCTTGTGGCCGATAACAGCACCCATAAATGCACTCGACACTGTGAAATTCTCTTGTGATCATATGATCATATAGAGCACTTAGAGAAGAATAGATGTTTTCTAAATAGATACCTACCTGGGATTAAACTAAATTGTACTTTGCAGTGTTCGATCTCGCAGCGAATTAGCCCACTTCAGCTCCAAGTAGAGCAGCCAAATTTGGTGGGGTCTGAAGCCTTACGTCGGTACTGTACTTTTTGGCGGGGGAGGGGTCGATGGCGAAAAAAAAAATCCGAACCAGCATCAGGAAGCCGAAAGATTCTGCTTATCAAGCAGGAAGCAACTGGGCAACTCCTTCCGGAAACCGAAACACTCTCGTTTGGTTTTCTTTTCGCCGCTGGCATTATCATTCGCATATTTATACCCTTTGCCAGATTCTGCCCTCGCCCATCCCCGATTTCTCACAGCTCAACGGTCGCATCGCAGCGCATCGCATCGCAAACATGTCTGCTTCCAACCACCCCGAAGATGAGATGGACGACAACCTCCTCGACGCCGAGGAGGTGGGCGAGGAGGTGGCCAACGAAGACGATCTCGCCATGGACTCCGACAACGAGGAGCTCATCCTACACAACGACTCCATTGCCTTCTTCGACCTGGCCCAGGACTCGCTCTTCACCATTGCGCAGCACCCTGTCCACCCTTCTCTGATCGCTGTCGGCGGTTCTGCTGGCGAGGCCGAAGATGCCCCTGGCGCCGGCTGGCTATTCGACTCCTCGGCCGCTCAATCACGGCCCGTCCTTCCTGCGAGCTATGCCAGCGATCCCTCTGCCCAGCAGCCCCAGACGACTCAGCTCGAGAGCCTGTATTCTCTACAGGGTCACACAGACTCCATCAACACCTTGGCCTGGACGCTTCCTCAGGGCGAAGTCCTGGTCAGTGGCGGCCTGGACGGCAGAATAAAGGCTTGGAAGACCGACGTTCAGCCATCCGCGGGCCTCAAGGTCACTCTGCTCGGAGAGGCGCAAGAGGTTGAGGAGATCAACTGGATTGCGCCCTGCCCTTCGCCTTCAAATCCCAACGCCATCGCCCTGGGCGCCAACGACGGCTCCGTATGGGTCTACACAATTGATCCCTCCGATTCATCCAACCCTCTTCAGATTGTTCAGTCCTATTTCCTGCACACAGCCTCTTGCACGGCCGGAGCGTGGACTGCTGATGGCCAGTTCCTGGCTACTGTTTCCGAAGACAGCAGCTTATACGTCTGGGATGTATGGGGGCAAGCCGCCGCCCAGGGTCTTGCCAACGACAATGGCATGACGGTAGTATCACTAACCGGCGAGGATCAGCGTTTCGAGGTTGAGGGCGGCTTGTACTCCATCGCCATCGACCCCAAGGGCAACTTCGTCGCAACTGGTGGTGCTGGTGGTGCCATCAGGATTGTTTCTCTCCCCCGTCTTACAAGAACGGCTCCGGCCAGATCACAAGGCCGGGGCGGCAAATCTGCCGCTGACCCCAGCACTGGTGGACAAATTCTAGCCGCGCTACACGCCCAGTCCGACAGCGTTGAGTCGCTTGCTATATCAGTTGCTTCAACGAACCCACCTACTATCCTGCTTGCTGCTGGCTCTGTTGATGGATCAATCACCGTCTTTGACGCCACACGTCGTTTTGCCATCAGAAAGAACCTCGTCGGAGCGCATGAAGAGCACTCTGTTGTCAAGCTCGAGTTTGTGCCCAACTCATGGCTGCTCACAAGCTGTGGCATGGATGGCGTGGTGCGAAGATGGGACCTGCGCGTCAGTGGAACAACAGGCAGTGCTGAAGGAGGTGCTACGGGCTTGTTGAAGGAGTGGAGAGGCCACAGGGGTGATGGTGAGGGAGGTGGCGTCTTGGGATTCGTCCAGGGACAGACTGGCGAAAGAGTGGTGACTGCTGGCGATGATGGTGTTTCATTGGTTTTCGAGGCATAATTGGGATGGATATACACACTGCTGGATGTGGATAGGATATGAAATAAAAATGCGTGCCATTTATACTGGCAGCTTTGATGACTGATAACATTTTTCTCCCTATAAACAAACAATGAGTCCTTTGAATTATTTTTTCCTAGGTTAAAATATCTATATGCTCAAACAGCTCATTATGAAGAGTCCATTACATTTCACTTGCAGCGACAGGATCTATTTACATCTGATTACTGCCTTTGTTGCAAGAAGTGATCTCATATGTTGACAGAGCATGAAGGCAGATGCATGCTTATCGATTGTGTCCGGGGTTACTTTCTTCCCACAGCTGCGCAGGTGGGGTCAACAAGCTAGGCCAGGATTACATACGCTGAGGACGTCAGGCAGGTGCCTCTTGCGTTACCCACAGCAGCCTTGCTAAGTCGCATCAACTGAACAATCACCATCTTCATTCAGGCCGGCCAATCCCAATTCTCGACACAAGGCGCTATATCCTGAACACGGCAACTCCCTCGAATTCGCTTCTCTTCTTGTCCTCGAATCAACGCCACACGCCGCCACAATGTCGGAGGCAACCCTCAAGCCCGAGAAGGACTTCTCCAAGGAAGTTGATCAGCAGCTTCCAGAGGCCGAGACTCTAGCCAAGGTACGGCGTCTCAGCTGAAGATTGATGTGTGTCTGCTATGAGCTGACATTATTCGTGTAGACCAACCTTCAGGGCGCAATCGAGAAGCTTGCCGCTCTTGAGAAGCAAACCCGTCAAGTAAGCCAGCTTTACCACTGCCAACCCCAGCTCCCAAACAGCTTCCCTGACACACCGACAGGCTTCGGATCTTGCCTCGACATCACGGGTCCTTGTGGCAATTGTCACACTATGCAAAAATGCCAACGACTGGAGCTTAATGAACGACCAAACGCTGGTCCTGTCGAAGAAGCACAGCCAGCTCAAGCAAGCCATTACCAAGATGGTCCAGACCGTTGTCGGCTTCCTCGATGAAACTCCCGACATCAAGACCAAGCTGTCCGTTATCGAAACGCTGCGAACGGTTACCGAGGGAAAGATCTTTGTTGAGGTTGAGCGCGCTCGTGTCACCAAGATCCTCTCCGACATCAAGAAGCAGCAGGGCGATATCAAGGCCGCCGCAGAGATTCTATGCGAGCTTCAGGTGGAGACCTTTGGTTCCATGGACCGACGAGAGAAGACCGAGTTCATCCTAGCACAAGTCGCACTTTGCATTGAGAACAATGACTGGACACAGGCGGCCATTCTGGCTCGAAAGATTAGCACAAGATACCTGTCGCGAAAGCCCAAGAAGACGGCTGAGCAGCTAGAGAAAGAGCAAAAGGAACGTGAGAAGAAGAAGGCTCGTGGAGAAGAAGTTCCAGAGGAGAAGGAGGACGACACAACAGACCTGAAGCTGCGCTACTACGAGCAGCAGATCACATTGGCGAAGCACGAGGACAAGTACTTGGACGCATGCAAGCACTATCGCCAGGTTCTCGACACAGAGGCTGTCGAAGAAGACCCTGCAAAGCTCCATCCTGTAAGAATACCTTGACGAATTTCTTCATATCCCCTTCAAACAGCAACTAATACTTTCTTGATAGGTCTTGCAACGCATCATTTACTTTGTAATCCTCGCTCCCTACGACAACGAACAACACGATCTCCTCCAACGCATACAACGAGACTCTCGAAACACACAGGTTCCTCTCGATGCCGAGCTCCTCCGGCTTTTCACAGTTCACGAGTTAATGCGGTGGCCGGAAATCGCCAAGAAATTCGGCCCGCACCTGTGCAGCACCGATGTTTTCGACGCCCAGCCCGGACAGTCTGCAGATGAAAAGGCTAACCAGAGATGGGAGGACTTGCGAAAGCGTGTTATTGAGCACAATGTCAGGGTCATCGCTAAATACTACACCCGCATCCAGATGAGCCGCCTGACCGAGCTTCTCGACCTTGCGGAAGATGAGACGGAGAAGTACATTAGCGAACTAGTCACATCCAAGACTGTGTATGCGAAGATTGATCGACCAGCCCGGATTGTCAGCTTCGCCAAGCCGAGAGATGCAGATGATGTCTTGAATGAGTGGAGCCACAACATGAAGAGCCTACTGGGGCATTTGGAAAGAATCGACCACCTTATCACGAAGGAGGAGATGATGGCACGTATCCAGCCAACAGGATCTAAATAGACGTTAGAAAGGGGAACGGGGGTCTGCGCGGTGCGTTGAAGGACAACAACATTACAGGGATGTTCGCAGACATGGCTTCAATGGGCATTTGTGGCTTGTAAAGATTACAGGTCTAAATAGTCTCGGAAAAAAAAAGAATCTGAGGTTATATAACGCTTATGTGATGGCTTGTATCTATGTCCCTATATTCCCAATTCTCATCTTAACCTGCTCTTGTAAAACAAAATCACTCCAATACGTCTAAGCTCTAGCTTGTGTCTATCGCACAACAAATCCAATAACTAGCTCTTTTTCATTTCTCTCCTGGATGATTGAGTTTTACTCTGCCTCCTGGCCGCTGGCATGTTTTTTTATGAATCCAGCAAGAGGCATCACCCACTCTTTAGATACCGGGACATAATGGCCGCCAGGGTGAACTACAACGAGCGGCTCCTCGCATCGATCCACCAGTCCTTGACTCCGGCTCTCATCGACAACCGTATCCAGACTGCCAATGTAGTGCAGCGTCGGAGTCTTAATCTTTGGTTCGTACAGCCACTGCAGCGAATCCACAGCAGCATAGAAGCCCGAATACGAAACGGCAAACTTGACAGGCCGGTTGTCATTCGCCTCTCTCAGCTTGCGCGCCCATTCCCCCGCCGGCCCTTCCAAAACAGGCCTCGAAGGCTCCAAAGCAGCAGCGATGAAGGCCGCCATGGCACCGCCCTGGCTGAAGCCGCAGACGGCATCGATGCCGCCGGCGTCGCGGATGGCGGAGGCGATGACGGCCATACCCTCGTCGAAGAGGCGGTACGTGTTGGAGCCGTCGTCTTTGCGGAACCAGCCCCAGGTGTCGGGGAGGTCTGCCGGGTCGGTGATGGCGTCGCCGCCTTGGGATTCGGAGGAGACGAAGCCGGGGATGTCTTGGGGGAGGAGGCGGTTGGGGCCGGTGGGGTAGAAGAGAACGGGGAGGAGGGAGACGGGGGCGAGGGTTTTGGCGAGGAGCTTTTCGAGGGCGCGGGTTTTGGCGCGGAAGAGGGGGCCGGATTGTGTGTAGCCTTTTAATATTAATAGTTAGTTGGATGTTTGATATATGAGTGATGAGGTGAGGTGAGGTGAGATGAGTCAAGGGGTGTGTAAGGCTGTCTTTCTTTGGATAGGTGTATATGGATAGATGATGTGGAAAGATGCTTACCGTGAATCATTAATATCTTGACTTCCTTCTTTCCGGCATTCTTCTTGGCCTGCTGCTCCGGCCGGGGAGTGCCAGTTGGTGTAGCTGACGATGACATTGCGCGAAGAGTGAAAGTTGAGATACGAGGTGGTATATAAGCTGATGTATGAGATATAGCCAAGAAAGTACACTGTCTAGATGTAACAGCAGCAGCACGAGACAAAAGAAATCGCATCTATAGGGAGAGAGTCTGAAAAGTTTGTACCGTGTAAGTGGCAAGTTGAAGGGTGAGAGTGAGAGATAAGGCTGAGTTGGGAATATGACTTAGTAATCCGTTGATTGGTGAGAAGGAAAAAACTAGAATTCAATGGCGCTACTGGTTTGGTGAGTAACCCGGCCAAGCTTATGGGATCTGTGAGTCGGTGCAGGCAGCTTATTTCACATTTGTAGTTAAATGAATGCTTTCTGCTATATGGGTTTAATTCTTGTAGATTTGAATTGGCGTGCTTGCATTGAGAGACACGCGCATTGATATGAGTTTTAGTGAGCAGCATTTTGACCGAATACCGGGTAGCCAAAATTCGATCTATAAAGCGGCATGGCATGGCATTGCATAGAAAATCAGGAGCAGCCATTCACTCATATATTCACCAAACTTTTACTGTTTGTATGTCCATACCAAATGTCCATAGCTTTCGTCTCTTGGTTCATCACAAAGGTCTATTAAGCCCTGAATGCGAGTCTATGATACAGCGCAGCGAAGCGTCTCGGCCTGCATGCTCTCCGAGTCGTCCCGAGTATATATATCCCCTTCTTCCACTCAACTTTTCCTGCGCACAAATCCCATACTTTTTGAATTCTTCATGTATATGCGTAATTTAGTGAGCCTTGTTGCCGCCCTGCTTGGCGTAGGGGCTGCGAGGATCGTTCTTCCACTCGTCGGCTATGCAAAATAATGTCAGTCTCTTCTGTGGTCCCAAAAGCTCGCGGCGGGGTATTTCGGGGGGGGGAAAGTCGTACAGGCCATCATGGCATTCTGGGCAGAGTTGGCGCCATAGGCGATAACGAGGCCTGGATATCCCATATTAGTCGAACTATTCGATTTTCGCCAACATAAAATGTCCTTCAATTGCGAGACAATCCGAGCGCAGTCGGGCGCATAACCGGGAGATTCGCGTTCGAATAAAACTGATCGAGGGTACCATTAATCACATACCAGCGGCGAAGAAAGGCCAGTAAGGCTTCACTGTAGTCTGATATTAGTCCCAATGATTCTGCGCATTTTGAAGGTAGGAAGCAATTGGTCCCGCCGGATGCTGAGGCCGGTCGAAACGTACAGAAAGGAGCCGGGAACTTCTTGAAGGGGGCGACACCGAACCAAGACATGATGGCGGTTTTTGTGAGGACGAAGCGTTGAGTTGGCGGAGGTGGGCGAGGTGAGCTGGTGAGGTCTTCAAAACGAGCCTTTTTCCCTTGGTCCAACCAGAATGCTTCCGAGCGAGTCTGCAGCCGGACAAGGGTTTGTCTGCCTAAGGCATTGATCACAAGGTACATAGGTACCTCTGCTTATCTTATTAGCCTATAATCACGTGATACACACTTACATAAGACATCTCCTCACCTTGGTGTGACATCATGCCGCTAATCCTGCTTTTGGTGCCTGTCGGGCTTGCTCTCCGCACCGAAAAGCGGAGAGCCAGAGCCGGTACGTACCGCCTCCAGCTCCATTTCCCCAGGTTCCTGAGACTCCTCGCAGCTTCAAAACTCGACTTTGCTTCAGCATCTGCACGAATTCGTCCAATTGTCTGCATTCTCGCGTGTGACAGCCGCCATCTTTCTTTGTCACCATCTACTTCAAGCTCTCATCGCTTATACACGAGTCCAGAATCTGCCTGCACGCACTCTGAGCTTCCAGCCAATAACCGCCGTTGCATTAGTCCGGAGCAGCCTTGATCGGGCATTTGATGGTGCGGGGTGAAGCTCCCTCTGCAACGTGCCTTTTTCGCTGGCTGCTACTCTGAGCTCCAGCTCGCTTCTGGGCGGCGAATTAACACAGTATCCAATCGGCCCTTAATCTTGCCCTCCATCATACCTTGTGCCTTCCACCACTGGTTGCTCTCTGCTCCGTCCTTATCGACAATCTCCCGGGCCTACTGCGCCTAACACCGACACACACCTTACTCTCTTGTTGGCTGTGACGAAAGCTTGCGACTCGACATCTTACGCTACAGCTTTACAAGAGGTTCGCCATTTGCTCTTTGTCTTTTTTACTGCCTTTATTGTTTCTTCTCCCTCCTACACCAACGCGACACACGTCATTATGCTTGCTCAGAGGTTGTCTCGCCGCGCTGCTGCGGCAGCCCCGCGCGCCGGCGTACGAGCTCTGGCTACGACATCTTCGATGCAAGTTCGAACACCGTCGATGGGCGACATCAACCCTTCCCCGGCCTCGATCGAGCAGTTCAACGAGAAGCAGAGAGCGTTCAGAGAGCATCTGGCGGAAGCACAAAGGGAAAGGGGAGCTCGTGCGTTTGGATCCCAGAAATTTCCTGACTCCGACACTCCTAACCAAAGCTCATCTCAAACTGCTGCAGGAGCTACAGCCGAGGCGACCAGCAACGAGCCTGATCGCAAACAAGGACCACTGACAAATCTCATCTACGGTACGAAAGAAGGCAGAGAAATGGAAGCTCAGATGGAGGCCAGCTTTAGTCAGGTCCTGGCTAGAGGCAAATATGTCCACTCCATTGTGTTCCACGAAGTCAAGCCCGACAAAGTAGACGAGTATATCCAGCTCACGGGAGAGTTTTACCCCAAAATGGCCAACACGCCCGAGAACAAGGTTCACCTGGTTGGAAGCTGGAGAACAGAGGTTGGCGACTGTGACACCTTTGGTAGGATAAGCCTCTACGCATGCTTTGTTGCTTTGCTTGTTCCTAGCTAATGTTATCACTTATAGTTCATATTTGGGAGTACCAGCGATACGAGGGTTACCACGAATCTCGACACTCCATCTCTCACCATCCTGAGTTCAAGGATTTCAACACGAAGCTCAGCAAATTGATCAATTCTAAGAAAATCTCTCTGATGCAAGAATTCTCCTTCTGGCCTACAACTCCCCCACGTGAGCTGGGAGGTGTTTTCGAGCTTCGTTCATACACTCTTCATCCCGGTAACCTGCTGGAGTGGGAGACTCACTGGAGGAGGGGACTCAAGGCTCGAAGAGAGGTTATGGAGGGCGTTGGCGCCTGGTTCGTCCAGATTGGCGAGCTGAACACAGTCCACCACCTCTGGCAGTTTGCCAACCTGGAAGAGCGACGGGCACGCCGAGAGAAGAGTTGGTCTGTTGAAGGCTGGAGTGACACGGTGCACAAGACAGTGCCTCTGATCCAGTCCATGCAGTCGAGGATCCTGATCCCCATGCCCTGGTCGCCTGTACAGTAAGCCGCGTATTATTCTGCTTTGGAAGTCACATCTCTTCAGTGCGTTGGATTCAAGTTTTAGTTGTTTTGGCGGCGTCAAGGTGGCTTCATCCATGTAGGAGTCGGCATTGTGTATGCACAGAGATAGCATGAGAAACTCATCATATATATATGTATTGTTTTCTCACCACCATTTTCAATCGCTACATGCTGCTTAATCTATGATCCAATAGATCTAACTGGAGACGCAAGGGGTATTTCAACTGTATATGCTACCAAAAACAATATCCCCTTCAATGATTAAACGTATATGTACAGGGAAATGATCTCCATCAATGCTCTATGATGAAACTCATACTGGTAGCTACTTCGTATATTCTTTAAGCTGCAAATTCATGACGGCATCCAAATTCCGCCGCGCCTGGTCTAGCAAGATGCTAAGGTATCCCAATTTCGAATACAAAGAGATGAGGCTGGGGTCTGCGCTCTCAACGCGGACTTTTTCTCGCACGTAGACTTCCTCCAGCTGCGAATCTGCCGTCTGTGGTCTTGAAGCAGCCGGCGGGTCAACTGTGTGGTTGGCAGAAACCCGCTTGGTATCAGAATAATCATCGCCCCCGGGCTTGTACTTGAATATGACGTCCATCTCATCGTGCTCGAGGCGCCGGAACGTGCCGATAGCGAGGCCGAGCTTCGTGCCGAAATGCATGGGGGCGTGGACGGGCTCGAGGGCTCGCATGAGAAGGACGATGCTGCATTCCTGGAGGGTGATGTAAAAGCTGAAATTTTGCGTCAAGGGTGGTGTAAAGTGCGAGGGCGGGCAGGACTGCGTGGTCCAGCTTGTGTCTGCCTCGTTGAGGGGCGGTCCCTTAAGAAGAGCGATGGAGGACGTTATGGAGTCTGCGAGGAGGCGCATTCCCGATGAGAGGGCCTGGGCTGCGTTTGTGGTGGAGGAGGCATTGGTTTCGGAGGCGGAGTCGGATATGCGATTGTTGGAGAGGAGCAGGCCGAGGAGGTCGATTGACTCGGTTAGATGGGTGTGGAGGGCGTCGAGGCCGTGGATGTGGACGGGGAACGATTGCGAGAGGGTGAGCGTCTGCGGCGCAATGGTTCGGAATTGGAGGCTGAGGGTCTGATTTGTTGTGCCGTATTAGCTATATAATTCGTAAAAGATTCGCAAAAAGGGTAGATGAAACTCACTCCCTTGACAATGCGCGTGCCGACTCGAGTGATGGTGCCCTTGACCCGTTCGTTGCGCGGCGTGCTCATGACCAGCGTGCTGCCAGGATCAACCGGCGCCAGCAGCGCATAGCAGTCTTCCAGGCCATGCTTGAGGTCCTCGCAGGCCTTCAACGTCCTCCCGACAATCCATGCCAGCTCGCGTTTCTTGAAAGAGATTAGCATTCCGCCTGGTTTGTTCTCGCCTCCCTCTAGCAGAACCCAATCGCAGTCCTCTGTCTGCTGCGCCATTGGGTAGTAGTAGTAGTAGCTGGCTTGGGATTCAACCAACCTGGGTTTCAGCGACTTTTATCTTGAGCTCGGCTGGCGAAACGGGAGGCCAGATGTCCAGAGACATGGCTGCTCGGCGGGAGATTCGGGGGTGAATGGTCGGAGCCTGGGATACAGGCAGCCATTCCCTCTGAGAGAAGAGGCCAGTTTTTGTCTTTGAGATGTTGAAGCTCTGAGAGTCAAGCTGATGATGACGTTCCTTAGCTTAGCGACTGAGTGCGCCGTAGAGGTCACTGCTGGTGGGGTCAGCGATAAACAGCGCCCGATAACAGAAAAAGTGGGCTGGGCGAGAACTTAGGAGCAAGAGCCAGGCAGTCATGCTTTTCGATGAAAGTCTTCTTTCTCAAACTACATTGAGAATTGACCAAAGACGGAGTATCTTGTTTTGCTGAATGCTTTTCTACTAATTTCTTGTTTTCTCATAAACGTATTCCTTTTTATTTGACTGATACGATTTTTTTTTCTTTTTACCCATGCTCCAGCTGGCTATTCTGTGCACTCCTTTAAATCAGCCACCGCCGCCGCTTCACCATGACCCAACTAGAAGATCGTCCAGCTAAGCTGGTGCCTGGAACAACAAGGAAGATGCCACCAATTCCACAAGGTAACAAAGGACACATTTACAGACTCTTCTCATATTGTGAAGATTAAAGATTATCTAACAGCTGAATTCTAGGCTCCAAGATTCAGAAGCGTCCGCTCACTCGGCGCCAGCTCCCAGCGTCATCCAAGACGCCAGTCATCTACGTGTCTTCAAAGTCTCCCTTCATGTCCGTCGTGAAGCGGACTAGGAAGTTTCTGGACAAGGCCCTACGTAACAATTCTTCTTCCAAGAACCTGTCGTTGCACGCTCGCGTCGAGGCTTTGAAGCGGGACAGCAACAGTGACACTGCTCGTGGAGCGGTCGTGACGGTGATGGGCACCGGTAAAGCTATTGAAAAGACGCTCAGCGTTGCAAGCTGGTTTGAGCAACAAGGAGACTGCATTGTCAAAATCAGAACACGGACTATTGGGACCGTGGATGACGTGGTTGTTGAAGACGCAGACGACGCGTTTGGAGACGACAATGAGAGCCGGCTGAGAAAGCTAAACTGCTTGGAAGTTGCCATCAGCCTAAAATGAGTCGTTTGGAAAGTCTACATGACAAGAGACATCAAGGGGCAACAAAGGATGTTTTAGAGAAAGACACGAACAGAATCACTGAAAGGCTGCTGCTCCTTGGCGATGTGATCAAGTAAGCTCAAACTCTTACGTTACCATGACTCAAACTCGCTGACCAAACAGACCGGGCAGCATCTCATCGACAAACGCGCATTAGCGAAAGATCAACACATCTCTTATTAAATCATGAGAGCGCTGTCATCGATGAAGCAAACTTCACAAACCAAAACCCAAATGCCATCGATACGAGGCTCAAATTAGCAGAAATTCCAATCGCTTCAAGTCTCCCCATGCCTAAACCCCCCATGCCGTCTCATTAAAGAAGAGAGAAAAAGAGTTCAGTTCCGATACTCCGATCCAGATGCAACCATTTACCGCCAAAATTCGAATGATCAACCCCGATAAATCCAAAAACTCCTCGCTTGCATCAAAACGCCAATGGTCCGTCCTCGAACAGCCAGGTGTTGTGAATCCGCCATACCGCTTACAGAAGACAGAAACAACAAAAACAAAATCAAATCAAATGTCATCCGCCTGCGCCGCCTTCCCTATGCTCATATCCGTCTTTCAAAATCAAGATTCTTTTGTTTCAAAAGAATGTCTTTTCATCTCGCCAGGCTTCGGTTGAAGAGATCGATGGCTCGTGATGTTTAGGTCAGGCGATAGGCGCTTTGAAACCGGTTAGCTTTACGAACTAACAAAAGCAGAATCACAGTACGGAATGTGTGACTGTTTACTCACTCGATAATCAGCTCTTCACCTCGCCACACACCACTTGCAACCCAGAGTCCGCAGTTGACAAACTCGGCGTAGCGTTTGTCTGCGGTCTTGACAGTGGCAAAAGTCCGAAAGCCGTATTGACGGGGGTCGATGTTGTCCTTGGACTCCTTTGCGCTAAGAAGAGTATCAAGGATGTCACATGGGCCCGATAAAGAACCTCTCGTTCGCATTTCCAGCATAGCCGGAGGCTGGTCGGTGGTTTGCAAGACAAAAGCGCCCTCAACAATGCGAATCGGGCGAAAACCGCGTGCCTGGCCAAGATCGTATCCGCCTGCCTAATGATTTGTCAGCTGATTTTTTTCTTCACCACGGGTCGGATTCGGAACGGATATGGAAATGTCCAGGGTGCAATCATACCATGACTCGACCATTGCCAAACGATCCGGACCATCTGCCGCCCTTGATGGTGGTGATCTCCTTTTGGACACGGTTCTCAATTCGGGAGGGCTCCGGGTTGAGTGCGACAGCGATGCGAAAGTCAAACTCGAGAGTAGGCATGGCGAAGGAGATGCTCGGACACGGAAAGTGTTCTAGCGCACGCTTACACGATTCCTCCACGCTCCTGTAGGAGGATAACAGATTGGATGTTAGCCAGTAATCGGAGCTCGGCCTCCGCTTCAAGGGCCTTTCGCAATCGTCAGGGTTAAGGTTAAGCTGAGCGACGTACTTGCCCGTCACCGTGGCATCGCCTCCCTGATCCTGCTGTTGTTGAGGCGATTGTGTCTGGTGCTGTGGGCTCGTCGCGGTGTTGCTCGGTCCGCCTAGGGAGAAGTGAAAGTTGGGCGTGATGCTCGTGTCCCACTCGTCGGCGCTCCATTCTCTTTTGAGTCCCCGGCACTGATGTTCATCTTGAGGCAGGCATGATGACCCAGCGACCTCTGTAGGGGCCGTCGTGGTCGGAAGAGAGAGCGTCTCGGTATCGGTTGCCATTTATTCCAACTTATGGGGTGAAACGGAGTAACCCGCGTCGACCTCTGCGATTTCGAAAATTCCCAAAATTACGATTTCCAAGACGCGAGCAAATTGATCGAATAGTGCGCGATTCCAATACGGAGTGATGTCGTCGTCTCTGAGGAGTATATGTGTCGATGGCGTGAAAGTCAAATGGTGATGGGATGTCGTCTCTTTTTGATAGAGGGGGGGTGGACGAAGGCCTGTCGACAGCGGATGGATGGGTATATGAATCTCACAATCAGGCTCCGCTTTTGGATAATCCAGGTGGGGGGGTATATTCGTGGAAAGTACACGAGGGTATGTAATCGGTACGCCCCGGAGCAGACAAAGGCCGTACTTGTACGGACAAAAGAGGAGCTGTCGTGGCCGCTGAGTGAGCAGGCAGCGTGTGGTTGGGTAATTGGTAATGCTTGGATTACTTAGAGGGGGCAGGCAGGACTATAACGAGCTGGAATGGGAACGGGGCAAAAAGTCGAAGGGCTATCTATTCCCGAATGTCCGCCAAACCCGGCCGAAAGAAAGAGACTCGAGGGCAAAAGAGTGTGCGAGAATAGAGGAGGAGCTGAGCAGCGAAGGGAAGTTTAAAGAGGCGACTGGGACTGGGACTAGGTATTAGAAGGGTGTGTATGATTATGGGTGTGTGTGTGTGCGCGTATGTATGGGTGAGGGTGAGTGTGGTGGTCTAAGTCATGGTGTGGAAATGGAGCCGGGCAAAGGCAGCGGTTTAATGAATGACCAAGCAGCGCAACCAGGAGGGCATTTTATTTCCTAAGCAGCGGCAAAAGGGCGACTCATCCGAGCCAGAAGAGCAGTCGAAGGCGACGCTACGTGCGTAACGTAATGAGGCAAGGTACATGTACTGTACAGCCTAGTGAGATAAGGTACAGTAAGGCAGATGGAAGCCGCCGGACGAAAACGAGTGCACGGAGTACAAGGCTTGTACCGGGACAGACTAAGCGCACCACTTTTGGGCTGGGCTGTCTATCGGCTTGATTTCAAATGCGGGTCGCGGATTCGCGCGCTGGCAACAATAAGCGAAACTAGGCGCTACCGGGCAGTGTCAGGATTCGGCAATAGCAGCATTTCCGCAATGAGGCAACTGGAGAGAAGGGGAAAAGGAAGCTGAAGTCGAAGCTTTGGGAAGTGGTTGATTGATGCGAGCGATAGTGGCGAGCTTGGCTCTGCAGCGATGGAGAGAGAGGCTGGAGGATAGGACGTTTATATGGCATGATTCCAATCCGTGGTGCTACTGTTGCTACTGCTACGACGAACAGCAGCTGTTTTATTCCGTCGCTGGGCTGAGAAGGACCCGTCAGACTCGACTCGAGTACCCGCGAGGTACAGTACATGTGCGGTACCTTGATCTGTACCATTACTCTACGTGCATACACTTTACAGCAGGGCAGGCAGAAAAAGGAAGAATTAAGAGCTGGCTGGTGTTGTACATGGCTCCGCACTCCGAGTGGACGGGCTGCGGGAGCGGGATAACCAAGAACTGCGAATGGCTAACGCCGAAAAAAGAGAGACAGCAGATCCTTACAGGCAGAAACAACGGGAGTACCGCAGGAAAAGAAGAAAAAGAAAGTTTACAGCAAGAAACAGAGCAGAAATTGTTGCCACCAAAAACGATGCTTTACAGACAAATAACTATGCGGACACCGCCATATGTCCGAAGCCTTGCGAAAAATCCCAACGCGAGAACGAGAACAATACCAAGCGGCTACGACAACCCACCGGTACATGCCGCAAAAGACTAACAGGCGGAAATGCGCTTTGCTCGTGGCGCGGCCACTTCGGGCACCGAACCGGCGGGTGCGAACCGAGGCTAAACTGCGACGGTACAGTAGAGGAGGATGGAGTTTGCCGATAAGTACGGTAGACACGCTAATTTTGGGAAACAAGGAAACAAATGACATGTTTGCTTTTTCTTTTTTCTTTTGCCATTTTTTTCGGCTTTGATGCCCGGCATTGATGGCTTTTTATTACAGGTAATGGCTTGCCGGGGGCGGAGAATGGACTTTTCATGGACAAATCTCGCTATGGCGCGGCTGCTGGGGAATGGCTAATGAGGGATTCAAGGTGCCGAGGCGGCTGCGGGCATGGAGTCGCCGGGCTATGGTCCTAGAGAGAGAGAGGGAAAAAGAACAGCTGTAAAAGGAGAAAAGTCGGCAATGATGCCTTCAAACATTGTTCTCTTTACAGGTAGTAGTCAAGGTAGTGGTGGTAGTAACAAAGTAGGTAGGCCCAGGAAACCGGTGCCAGTTTGGACCCAGTCGGCAGTCGGACATTTCCATGTCAGCGAAGAAAAAGCGAATAAGCTCTCTCGACCTACGTAAGGTACGGAGCGGCATTGGTTATTACTACTAGTAGTACTGCCTGCAGCTGCAATGCGCAAAGTACCGCGGAGGTACTTTTCGATGCTCCCTCGGGACCTTGATCGATTCCATCAAGTGCCCTGTGGGTGGACATTTGGAATAAAGAGGGGGAGCGGCCAAAGGGCTTCCAGCGCTGCGTTTCGGCGCGATTGTCGACCCGGGCTAGTGGAAGTTGGCCTTTGGAGCGCGCGCGTGCTGTGCTGGGGGCAAAAGGTTTTTTTTCTATTCAGGCGGGAAAAGGAAGCGGTACGCAGGGAATACTTGACACGAAAGCCGTTTGTCCAATGCGAACAATGCCTGTGGTGAGCTGGGGTTTGATGCTTAATCCTTTTGGTTGATGTTAATTTCTCCGAAGCTTGCGCGGGAAACATTGCTGCGTTTGTCAAGAGTTTTTGTGTTTGACTAATTGATACTTATACTTGGCCTTCTTTTCTCTTCAGTTGCTGGCTACGAGCAAAGTGCAGCATACAACCATGACTACGAACATCAGCCGCTGTTTTCAATCAAAGCCCGAAGCAAAAGCAACACTTGAAGAGAGTTGGAATGTGGGCGTGTCTGCGAATCGACAAACGCGCAGTGACATCTTTGCCGGAGAATGGTGCCTTGTCTGGGGTGCTATCTCCGCAAGGTTACGGAATCTGTCGACGCTAACTCCCTGCGCTGCACTTATACGATGTTACGGAGCATGTACCTGTTGCGATGGAATCCTATGGGCACACAGGGCCTGGTGGACTTTTTTACGACTTCCGATTCCCTTGTTTTGCCATCCCGTTTCATTCTGGCACGTCTCTTTTTATTGATGCCCTCCATCACGATTTGGGGTGTGT